CCTTTGCCGTCCCTGCCATAATCGGGAGAAAGCCAGAGGCCTTGGTAAATACATTTGCCAGAAGTGCCATGCTATCATTGATGAACAGCCTCTCATCTTCAAGAACGATCCATACCACCCTGATCACTTCAGCTGTGCGAACTGCGGGTAACAGGAACTGAATTTTTAAAAATAAAACACCATCTTTCTTATATATTTACCTAGAAGGAATTCTTATTGTATTTGGTATGGTTGAATCCCTTGGAAAGTAAGCATCGGATAAAAGCCATATCCAGCATATGTGTACTGAGGCTAAAGATACATATTGCTTTAAAGATGCAACTAGAAGCTATGTCTTGCCTCTCTCCTTTATTCTGAAGTAAACGCGGGGAACAAATTGCATTGGGATTCTTCAGTTTATAAGGGCAACTTTAAACTTTAATCTTCCGTGGCCCAAATCTGGATCTGGGCCCAGCCCAATTATTCACAAATATGTTGCTGCATTGTTAATTCCAAACTGGTAACTAACCATATAATAATTCAAGCTTAATACATTCAGACTGTCCCCTCCCTGCCCCACCCCAGAATATCTATCAGTGGAAACGAATTTCTCTGCTTCAGTTGCTTTATCTTCACTTTTCTTTTATTAACTCATGAACAGGAAGGAACTTACTGCTGAAGCTCGAGAACTGAAAGGGGAACTGTACTGTTTGCCTTGCCATGACAAAATGGGTGTCCCCATCTGTGGAGCATGCAGGAGGCCAATTGAAGGGCGTGTAGTGAATGCTATGGGCAAGCAGTGGCATGTCGAGGTAAATCTCATGTGTACTCTTGTAAGCGGGAGTATCTTTGGCCTGGAAAATGCTAGGTTAGAGAATGGAGTCCTCAGCAAATTGTAATACTTGGCCATAGAAAACCGTCAGTAAGAAACATCGGTCCCTTCTGAAAACACCTTGCAAAGCTTTGCAAAGCCTGTGTCAGGATGCTTCAGGGACACATATGTTGGTGCCACTCCTTCCATCACAAACCTCTCCACCTTAAACAAAGAGGTGTGGAGGGGTTCTGTGCCTGCATTTGAATGTTTATAAGAGTATGACTGGGAACCCTCTTCTGTCAAGGTCTTTAATCTTGTGGAGCATTCCACTCACATTCAAGGAAGCGTAAGCAGGACATCACATTATTGAGCTCAACACTGCAAGGTTGGAGAGAGAAGGGTAGGTGCAAGAAGATAGGATTTGGGGCCCTCTGTGCACTGAAAATCTTTACATGTTCAGGCAGACAACTGCACTGAGCTCCGGTCTTGTTCATGTACTAGAGGAAAATGCCAGTATAGCACAATTTGGAAACCATGCCCCAGTGTCCACAGAAACATTCTCAAAGCACAGCAGCCAGAGACTCTTGTCAGCAAAGACACCTGCAGGCCATCCATAAAAAGGGGGCAGTGGATTTATGACAACAGGCACACAACCTAGAACACTTCCCTGCATGGCTACATACAGAATGGTGCCACTGTTCCCCCATTCCAGCAGCAACTTCATATCCTCTGGTGGTGCACACGCGCGCACACATAGTTATTTACATTTAAGCTTAATTTTTAAAGGTAATTTACTGTGTAGTGTCAATCCAGTCCTGCATTATGGTAATCCTAACGGAAGTGGCTTATCATTCTCTCCTACTGAGGGTGCTCTGTGACTGTGTTGTGTGTCCAAGGCTACACAGGCTGGTTCTTCTCCCAAGAGGGAATCACACTCCTAATTCCATAGTCAGGTGCTCCAAGCCATCCATTTTTTTTTTACTTTATCAACATTTATTCCACACTTTAATCTCCCCCCCCCGCCGCATTCTATAAACTTAACACAGTACAGTGCAGGAAAGCCTTTTATAAAAGTGGCCACAGAGAGTTAGGAGTGCATTCTTCCAAGAAGTAAGCAAAAAAGTAACTAATTCAGTTGCTATACATTTACATGCTCATTAAATTAATTTCTGTCTTGCTTGCTTCTTGGAAGAATGCACTCCTAACTCTCCTGATGACGGCTGCAATACTGGCAGAAGCAGCCCTGAGAGGACCCTAAAGCTCTCTTGACTGCAATTGCCAGATGTGATTCCTGGAAGACAGCACTATGGGAGCCCAAGGAGTTTTTGTTGGGGTGGTGACACTACAATGGCATCTGCAAACTGGGAGGGAGAGGGAGGGGCAGCTGGGGAGAGGTAGAAGAGGATCGCCAGCAGGGCAGACAAGGCAGCCGCAGTGCTGGCATGGCAAAAGTTGGTAATAAATTTGGTGGTGTGGCAAGGGTCTGACAGCTGCATGTGATCTGTATAGGTGCACATGTCTGCTGCAGCCACTTTAGACAGTATTTTATTGTTTAGTTGTTAAGTAGTGACCCCATGGACCAGAGCACGCCAGGCCCCCCTGTCTTCCACTGCCTCCCGGAGTTGGTCAAAGTCATGTTGGTAGCTTCGGTGACACTGTACAATCGTCTCGTCCTCTGTCGTCCCCTTCTCCTCTTGCCTTCATACTTTCTCAACATCAGGGTCTTTGCCAGGGATTCTTCTCTTCTCATGAGATGGCTGAAGTATTGGAGCCTCAGCTTCAGGATCTGTCCTTCTAGTGAGCACTCAGTATAATGTGGATATACTGTATTAGTGCTTTGTTAAGCTGCCAGTGAGGTCCATAAGGAAGGTCTTCAACATAAAATACTAGTTTTTATTTTTTATTTATTTATTTGTGTGTTTGAAAGAGAGAGAGAGAGAATGAGAGAGAGCTGTATTTATTCCCACAAGTCAGAAAAAGAGAGAGGTATGGCTGATGATTGTATATGAAGAACCAGAGCTAAACTCAATAGGATCAATGCCACATAGCAATTGATACTTCACAGGAACTGGACTAAAGGTACCCTGTCCTTTTTCCCTTTTCTATAGCATTTTGTATGTGCAAAATGTGAAAAACCATTCCTAGGCCACCGTCACTACGAGAGGAAGGGACTGGCATACTGTGAAACTCACTACAACCAGGTATGGTTTCATTTGGTGTATTTTCATCATTCAGCCACTCTTTTCAGGACTCCTGCATAGACCTGACACAGACATCTGCCATGAATTTTTGAGATTCTTATTTACACTATTTTTGCACTATCCATAAAATATTTGTGGACAGCCTGAAGAAGTGGATTTTAGCAATGAAAGCTTGAAGTTTCTTTAATTATTATTTTTGTAGTCTAAATAAAGCTCTTGCCTACTTGTGCATTTGTGTTACGTTAAGCACCACACAACCTTTTCATAATATTTTCAGGATGTTACAGCAGAAGCTTCTGTTTTGACATTTAATATCTTGTAACAAGTTTTGATATAGAAGATCATGTAGATTTGAAATGCAACAGATTGTCAGCATTTCTTGTTTAAAAAGTCTTAATATTGATCTATTTGAAAAACCAGTTTCATACTACTCCACATTTAGAAGGTAAAGTCTTATTCACTGGTTGTTCTGGGTTTTTCGGGCTCTTTGGCCATGTTCTGAAGGTTGTTCTTCCTGACGTTTCGCCAGTCTCTGTGGCCAGCATCTTCAGAGGACAGCAACCTGTATTCTGGTGTAGTTGGCCGGCCACAGAGACTGGTGAAAGGTCAGGAAGAACAACCTTCAGAACACAGCCAAGGAGCTCGAAAAACCCAGAACAACCATTAGATCCCGGCCGTGAAAGCCTTCGCGAATATATCTTATTCACTGGTTTCTCATCTCAAAACATAATTTGAGATGAGAGCTGTTTCAAATTTTAATTTGGAAAGGCATAATTGTTTCACTTTGCCCTCATTTTATCACATTTAACAAGTTACTTATAATTTATTCCTTTCTGCAATAATTACGGCACTGCTTCTTTGCATTATTGCAATGTTTATTTATTTTTACAGTGGATGGTCTTGTAACTTAGATTGTCTTGTACAAGGTAGCCTTTTGATTTTTTTTAAAGTAACAAAGAGTTACTGTTAAAATGTAACTGAAATAATGACTACCTACATGCAACTGTAATTCATTGGCCATAATCTGTCTGGTCTTTATATAAGGTCAGCATAACAACTGATTGCATCTAATTGAGAAAGTGCCAGAGTGTGATCTGATCACATATCCAGTTGTGTACCTGATTGCACAACCAAGATTTCCTCCAGCACCTTGTCAGCTATCTGGAGTTATATGAATGTGAACAGGATTCTTTCCGTCATTATTTTTTAAAAACTTTCTCTTTTCTATGTTTGCATGCTAATTTTGCAGTATGGTGCAATGTGAGAATCATGTTTGCAAATTCAGACGCATTTCTCTTTGGTTATTTTATCTTGTCTTAAATACGGAAATTAAAACTTCACTGTTATGCCTTAGGAAGTCACAAAATATGGAGTAAAACATCCAACTGTATTTTGTACAGAAAACATATTTTGCACAGAAAAATTATTTTAGGAAGAATATAATTTTTTCGGCTGAATACAAGGGTTTCTGTGCAGAACACATCCTTGAACGGTATGAAATGTACAAAAAACTCTGTAATCTCAGCAAAGAGAAGGTTTTTTAAATTTTTCATTCCCTCCTATGAGAATGAAATAAGTGAAGATTTACGTTCCTAAGAACATCTACATGGAATTAGGCACTAAATTGCTCTTTCATTGTGCACCACCAAGTGGCCATTTGGGGCTATAACTTTGGGCACATGCTCTGCGTGCTGAAGGTGCAAGTTTGAATCTTCTGCAAGGGTAAAACAACATGCCCGAACTGAGAGTCAACAGTCAGTGCAGACAGTGCTGAGCTAAATGAACTTAACAGCTTGACACACCATCAAATAACTTAATGTGTGTGGTGTCTGATCTACACTGTTGCTGCAGTTTGATCCCACTTTAATTGCCATGATTCGATCCTGTGAAATCTCAGGTTTTGTAGGTCGGTGATTGACCCGGTGCTTGAGACCTATTGTGCTTTCTCCTGAACGAATAGTAGAGAGTTTTAAGGACCTCAGCAAACTACAGATACTCTGTGACCAACATCCACTTGCATAGCTATGCAAATGGCAGAATGTTTGGAGGGAAATTGCCCCAAGTTAAGAAATCGTCATAGGTGTTATTGATCGCATGCTGAATCCCTCTATTCAGTGTGTAACAGATAATGTCTGCGGTGGTTTCTTAACTTGAAACAATTTTCCTTTAAAAGTCATGTAATTTGTGTTACACCAGTGTAACTAGGACTTGGGCTGATGTCTCTGATTTTACAGTTTTGACAACATATCTATTTAGTGGAACACTTCCAATTTTCTAACTAGATTCAGATGAGTGCCCAGTGATTGTAATTTTAAAAGTTGGCAGTTTGCAACCACCTTCACAGTGGGTTCCTTGCTCAACTGGATCGTACTGAAGTGCCTGCCTGTCACAATTTTGCAAACTAAATTCCTCTGTTGGAGATACATACAGGCACTCTTAACACACTTCTATCCAAAACACATTCAGAAGCTCTCCCTTTAGAATTGGAACCAAAATGTTTGTACTATTTTACTAGGGAGAATATGCAGGAATAAAATTGTGCTTATCCGTATGAAAGAAACAGCCATTCACCAACCCCAAGAACTTGCTTCTGTGTCATTCCCCCCCCCCCTCTCTTCAGATACTGTTAATTCTGTGGTAGTGTTTTTGTTATGTTTTCACACGGTATCATTTATGTTGATGTCTCTGTAATATCTAAGTCTGAGCTTAATTTTATGATTTCAAATATGTGGTGAAGCAGATGTACTACTTTTATTGGAGACTTGAGTGTTTCCCGTGTGCTTCATTTCCCTCATCATAAAACAAATTCTGTCTGGCTTTTCCTTCCAGGTTTTTATAAATTTAGTGCAGCAGTGACTTAATAGTGATGCAGACAATGAAACTGGCTGGAGACGGATGCTGTCAGAAGCTGATTAGCCTAATCAGATTGTCCTGCAAAAATGAGCAGTTTAGACTAATTAGATAATTAAGAGCCAAATCCTGGCATATGCATGAAGACAATCTTAGGATAAACTTCATTAAGTACCAGGTTTTCTTACATCAAGATGAGATTCTGGTATCACACATGGTAACATAGAAAGCTGCCTTTCAGTAAGCCAAACCATGTGTCTGTCCATTCTAGAATTCTCAACCATAGCAATGGCTGTCCAAGCGTTCAGATAGAATTTTTTTGTAGCACTAGCTGGAGCCCCTGGTATTCCCTGGTGATCTCCTGTCTAACTATTAAACAGACATGTTTTCGCTTCCAAAATCAAATGAGACTTGTGTGGATGAAATACAAATGTTACTTGCAGGTATATAGTGGAAATGTAATATATGCAGCTACTACTGTATAACTTCTTTAAAATTAGCCATGATTACTATTTGGGTAGTGCAATCCTAAGTACATTGAATTGGGCCAAAGACCTACTGAGTTTAGTGGGCTTTAGACCCAGAGTACTTTGAGATGTACAGCTTCTAGCATGACCAGCTCAAAGTTGTCATGTAGGTAAACTGTTTCAGCCTACTTTTTGGCTTTTATTTGAAATTTTAAAAGCACAAGGAACAGTGGGAAAATATGTAATATTAAGATGACATGCTTCTAAAGTTCTGTGAAACAGGTGTCTTACTTAGAAATATTTTCCATTTCCACAGCTTTTTGGTGACGTTTGCTTCCACTGCAATCGTGTCATTGAAGGAGATGGTAAGTCTCCACAGATATTTGCATGTTCCACCATTCCAATAAAGGGCACTTTGTATCTAGCAAAGAAGATCAATGTAAGCAAATGATCAAGTCAATTCCAGAATAGGCACCAAATACTTTTTAATCCAGTGGACTCACAAGTTAAAGTCCAACTAACATTCATAAATCAATATAGTGCAAAAAATATAGTGGACTTGGTCACCGTAACCAATCTTCCCTTGTTCAAGGAAAGCTTAGAATTTCTTAGAACTTGTCAATGATAAATACATCAGGAGCAGGAAAATTTCTGTGGAAGAAAAGTTGTTTACCATTAATAAATTCTTTTCCAACAACATGAAACCACAAAGGAGCGCCAGCTGTGTTTTAATCCCTTTTTTCCTTATAGACTATAGCTTGTCTGAAAATGTTCCTCAGCAGTAATATTATCGTTAATTTAACACAGCCAACCTTTTGCATGCTTATACAGTGGTGACTCGCATTAGGACATTAATTCGTCCCAGCAAAATCGCTGTAGAACAAAAACGTCGTAATGTGAAATAAAAAAGCCCGTAGAAACGCATTAAAACCCAATTAATGCGTTCCTATGGGCTTGAAACTCACAGTCCAGCGAAGATCCTCCATAACGCGGCCATTTTCGCTGCCCGTGCAGTGAGGAATCTCCCAGAAAAGAGCAGGGAGCCATTTTTTTTAACCCGGTGGCCATTTTGAAACCACCAATCAGCTGGCCGAAAATCGTCGTTTTGCGAGAAACGGTTCCTGAAGCAGGAAACTGATCATTGCAAAGCGAAAAAAACCATTTAAAACATCGTAAAGCGATCGCTTTTGCGACTGCAAAAAGTTTGTTGTGATGTGATTTTGTCGTTAAACGGGGCGCTCGTCTTGCGAGGCACCACTGTAGTTATTCCTGTGATTTTCTTGTCAGTATTGGTTTTACTTACATAAACTATCTTGCATCCCAGTTTTGCGAAAAAGGCAGAGTATGTGGGATGTAGAGCAGAGCTTCTGAGACTTGGCTGATGTGATAAATACATCCCCAATGCAGATATTAGATTTTTCTTAATTTTCCTCATTGGTGAACCTGGTATTAATTTCAGCCACAGCAACAAGGAAACTAGACCTGTGAACCACTTATGAGCCTGAGGACGTTGTCCTTACCATAATCATCCAAAGTTCCTTAGTATATCATTGGTTTGCGGCCATTTGTAGCAGTTTTCCAGTCCCCTGCTGCTCAGTGAGTCTGAGTCCAGAGACTAGAGGTGGTTAAGAGGTCTCAGTATAGGGCTGCATGCCAGCATTGACAGCTGCCCAAGGACACCAGGTGCTGAAATTCAGCCTGGTATGTAGACATATAAACACTAAGTGAGGGTGACCCGATGGGTCAGGACGTATGCATAGCATGTCAAACTGTGACATCACACTAAACGTGCAGGGTAGTTGCATTAGGATTCTGTTAGCAAAAGCTGTGCAAATCTGTAGTTACAAACAGCATATAATGATTTGGAGGACTTTATATCTTATTAAACTAAGATCAGGGCCACTGGTCCCATCACCTTCTGGCAAATAGAAGGGGAAGATATGGAGGCAGTGACAGATTTTACCTTCTTGGGCTCCATGATCACTGCAGATGGTGACATAGAGAGCATCTTAAAAAGCAGAGACATCAACTTGCCGACAAAGGTCCACATAGTCAAAGCTATGGTTTTTCCAGTAGCGATGTATGGAAGCGAGAGCTGAACCATAAAGAAGGCTGATCACCAAATAATTGATGCTTTTGAATTGTGGTGCTGGAGGAGACTCTTGAGAGTCCCCTGGACTGCAAGGAGAACAAACCTATCCATTCTGAAGGAAATCAACCCTGAGTGCTTACTGAAAGGACAGATCCTGAAGCTGAGGCTCCATTGGTCATCTCATGAGAAGAGAAGATTCCCCGGAAAAGACCCTGATGCTGGGAAAATGTGAAGGCAAGAGGAGAAGGGGATGACAGAGGACGAGAGGGTTGGACAGTGTCATTGAAGCTACCAACAAGATGTTGACCAAATTCCGGGAGGCAGTGGAGGGCAGGAGGGCCTGGCGTGCTCTGGTCCATGGGGTTACAAAGAGTCGGGCATGATTTAACAACTAAACAACAACAACAAATATCTTATTAAATAGATTGTGGCAATATATGCAATGAAGTAGGGTGAGAAATGTAAATATCTCTGCTCTTTGTAAAAACTGGCTGATCCTGTCATTTCTTCTCAGTTGTGTCTGCGTTGAACAAGGCATGGTGTGTGAACTGCTTCGCATGTTCTACTTGCAACACAAAGTTAACACTCAAGTAAGTGGTTTAGATTTTTGTGGCAGTGAAAAAAGTCGTGATGTTGATTGTGTTTTCTGGCCCACTAGAGTATATTTCTATATATGAACAGGTCTGGGACTTTCATTTTTTGGACTATAGCTCCCAAATGGTATCTCAGACATGATGAGCCTTGGGGCTTTGGAAGAGATGGCTGGGAAGGGCTAGGCTAGGGGTTTAGTATCCTCCTTGCCCATCATTGTCTCTCAGGAAACTGCAAGGACCTCAATACCTTGGAGCTCTCACAGAGGTTAGCCTCTCTCAGCCTTTATTCCTCAGCTTTCAGTGCTTGAAAACACCCAAGAGGACTTTGATTTTTTTTTTTTGGCTGAAGCCCCTCAACTTCTTGCTGGAGGAACTCCTGTAGACTCCTGGTGGCTGTAGTCAAAAAACAAAAATGCAAAAGTCCTGTGTGCATATAAACAGTTTGATGTTCTTGAATAGGAGAAGGTGAGAAGAACCAGGTCAAAAGATTACATATTTGAATACCATCCTGCTTACTTTGAGGAAATTTCAATGCATAAAGGTCATGACTCGGCTTCTCTGCAAAATCATGTAGGTAAGATGGTGTTGCAGCTCCCGTTTAATAACAATTACTATAAATTCTCTGTTAATCTCTGTGTTTGGGAGGCAGCTAGTGATGCTCAGCCTCAAGGGGAGCTTCCATTTGGAGACTTAGGGTTGCTAGACACAATCTAGATTTAACAGGCATAACCTATGTATCTTTAGAACACAAAAGATGAGCGGTCCATCCCATGTTTATGTTTTACTGTCTATCCATTCTGCATTTAGTTAGCTCTGCAATTCTCCACAGTATATGCAAGTGCTTTGGTTTCAGTATTTTTCTCTCCCCGGTATCTGGAGTTACGTCATGTTTGCTTCTGTTGTCTTAACATATGAAGCTTCGATAAACTAAAACATATTCATGCATTTTAACCTGAAACAATGATAACTTACACAGTAAAACTTTTAAGTGTTAGTGTGTAGAGAAGTGCAAGTAAGTTCTGCTCTCTCTCCCCCCCCAGAGGTCACACAGTATTTCACACGTTCCATGTGAAGGTTTGAAGAAGAATTGGGAACGGCACTCACCTGAGCATACTTAACAGCACTTGTATGATTGGTTGCCCTGACAAGGTCTCGGATGCAAATATGTTGCAGTAAACACACTTACGGGCATCTTTTCAGACCTTTGCACTAAATGCGTGAAGATCTGGGTAACTTCTGGATTGGGGGGGAGGCGGAATTATAAGGCATATAACTAATATGTGCAGCACCAAACACATAACAATAATAATCTTGCCATCAAGTCAATTTTGACTTGGATTTTCAGGGTTCTTCAGTTAGAGAGCACTCAGAAGTGGTTTACCAGTCCCTTTTTCTGGGGGTTATGCTGGGAGTCTGCAATTTGTCCAAGGCTACACAGACTGGCTCTACTCACAGGAGGCACAGGAGGAAATTAAACCCCCAAGCTCTGGCTCCACAGGCAGATCTAAACCACTGAGCTATCCAGCCAGTTCTATAACACGTAAAGCTCTGCATAATTTCAGGCTACAACACCTTAAGGAACGTTTGCATCAATGGGAGATTGTTTCCTAACTCTACAGTGATGTAGCCATTATTACTGCAGTAATGTGGCCTCTAGTAAACAGTAGGACTGTCCCTCCTTATTTTTATATCTATTGCTTTCAGTTCACTTCTGTCTTCTGCTGAATTCTCTTTTCCATCTGTTTTCCACCTGACCTGAATCTCAGTTCTTTCCTGTTCTCTCCTCTTCTTTCTCCACTGCATAACCTAAAAGGGACAAGTTTGTTGAAATCGATCTCAAACCTGTCTGCAAACACTGTTATGAGAAAATGCCTGAAGAATTTAAGCGGAGACTGGCCAAACGGGAGCGTGAAGCAAAGGATAAGGAAAAACAGAAAAAGAAAAAACCAGTCTGTTTGTAAATGTATCAATCCTATCTCCCACCAACCATGCTCTTTCCTTCTCTTTGGTTAGTTTGAAGGTGTGGCTTTGCTTTTACATTTTGTTTTGTGTTATATTTTCCATTATTGTGAAGTGGTTAAATCAAACTGTTCAGTGGCAGAGCTTGACTTTTGTGCATGGTGAGCAAATTGCAAAATACACAACTTTGTTTTGACTAATCAGATTTCTTAAATACGAAAGCTTTGTGTTAAGAGAATGCCTTGGTTGGTTTATGCATTGCACAGGAGCTGTGCATATAGTGGCCCTTGCTTAGTCGGTTATGACTAAATGACGACTATTCTTTATCTTTCCCACCCACCTTCCTCAATTAACTGTATTGTTTTGTTCCATTATAATTTTTTATAACTTGGGAGTGGTTTAGAAATAGGAACTTATTTAAAATCATAAATCAGGGCTATCATTTTATTCTGGTTGAATAAACAGAAAGAAACGATTATCATTTAATACCTCATGACACACACTGAGATTGCTTAGGTAACAAATCAGAAGTGTAGCATGGATATAAACATGATTTTCTTAAAAGCAATGCCAAAAATTAAGAGGCAACATCTTATTCAGTATTGAGCAAACTGACTTTTCTCCATTTCAAAAACTTTTCAGTCCTGACATCTAATTCAGTGGTCCCCAACCTTTTTGGGACCACAGACTGTTTGGGGGATGAAGGGTCCATGCATGGTCCGGTTGGGGGGGCGTGGGCACCCCTGTTGTATGTGTAAAGGGCAAACCTCGGCAGCAACAGCCAAAAAAGCAAGTGCACAAAAGCTGGGGGGGGTTACATGTGGGTGCCCGTCTCACCACTCGACTGATCTGTCCCATCCCCCCTGCCGCCGCTCTGGGCAGACCCACTGGCTTCACCCCGCCAAGGTGCCCGGTACGGCTTTTGCTGGGCTTGGGCAACCATCTGCCATAGCAACACTGCCTACCACCCAAGGCGAGCGAGGAAGGGCAAGCCAAGCCCCGCTCAGGCCGCGCGGATTAAGTGGCTGCCCACCCAAAACATCCACCTGTCCTGGGTTCAAAAGCTCCCTGCCCCAAAAGAGCTAAGGATCACAGCTTGGCGCTGGGGCCCAGGTCAGAAAGCCTGCCTGATGAGCCCATTGCTGGCCTGGATGGCTGTTGGGCTCGCCTTTTGTTCGCTGGGGTCTCCTGGGAGGAGAGGGAGAGTGAGGGAGGGGAAAGGGGCGTCTCGCTGCTGGCCAGGCAGTGCGCCCAGTGGTGTGTGTGTGTGTGGAGGGAGGGGGTACGCGGGTACACACACGCCTGTGTTGGAGGGGGGCGAGGAGGCAGCGGCGCTGGCACTCCGGGGATCAGAGGCACACCAGCCCAGCTGTAGCCCAGAGCACACCAAAGCCACCAATGCTGCCACTGCCCTTGCCACCACCGGCCAGGCAAAATGGCACAAGCCGGCGCAGGCTCCTTCCCCGCCGCAACTTCTCCGGCATGAGGTGGAGACTCTACGCTGGCCTCCTGGAGTCTGAGCCCCGTCCGCCTCACGCCGCACTGCATCTTGCACCTGGCCACCCCTGTGGCTGGCAATTGCTGGGCGCACGTGCACTTTGTGTGCCGGGGCGACCGTAGCCACGCCTGCCACGGTGGCTGTTTTATTTGTTTGTTTGTTTGTTTGTTTATTGGATTTATATACCGCCCCATAGCGCTACAAGCACTCTCCGGGCGGTTTACAATTTTTAATTATACAGGCTACACATTGCCCCCCCAGCAAGCTGGGTACTCATTTTACCGACCTCGGAAGGATGGAAGGCTGAGTCAACCTTGAGCCGGCTACCTGGGATTTGAACCCCAGGTCGTGAGCACAGTTTTAGCTGCAGTGCAGCCCGAGGAGGGAGGGGGGACCGAGACTCTCATTCACGGATGGCCATCACCCCTGTCACACACCTGTGGAGCCCATGGCCTCTCCCCAAGGTGGCCACCCAGCGCCCGTTGGCTCACTTGGCTTCCTTCTGATCATCCTGGGAGCACATAAGGGAAGGCGGATGGGGGGGGGGACGAGTGAGCCACCCAGCCAGCTGAGAAGGGGGCAAACAAGGCATGCCCCTCCACAAGGGCGGCACGCCCAAGGGGGCGGAGATCCGTGTCCACGGTCCAGCTGCAGGAAGCCCACGAACCGGCAATGGGCCATGGACCAGGGGTTGACAACCCCTGATCTAATTGACTTTCTCAGTTTGGGTTGGAATGCATCAGTCCCTCATCCCAGCACCCTTCCCATTAGATACCGTAGGAATTACCATGTCAAACAAGCTGGGGTCTGTGAAGCAGAGGATTAAATGATGATTAACAATATTTAATGACAGGAAACCTTATTAATGTTAGCACAAAACTATTAAATTGCATTATAGCATTAGATTACTGCTGTATTAAACAAAATTTTAGTAAGCAAAATATTAACCAAAAAAGTTTTAACAAAATAAAAAGTAACTACTTTTCTGATTTCTACATACATTTTCTTAATCACCCTTAAAGAATGGGCTTATGTGTGCATTTAGGGGGCTTATTCTTTGTGTCTTGTTCCATTTGAGGCATACCTGTGAATCAGAACACAGTGCTGTGAATTAGAACACAGTGCCAGGTTTTTAATAGCTTCTTAAACACATCTGTGTGTTAGTAGAATATTTCAGGGCCTTGCTCCCTGCCATCTGACATAAAGTTTACTGGAGTGTAAACTTTACTGGAGTGTAAATACACTGGAGTGTATTTATTTATTTATTTCTCTCACACACCTCTTTATTGGGAGGACTATTATATCCAGAAAAATAAACTAATAAAGGCATTGCAAAAAGCATAAAATGCTTATGTTCTTTTAATACATGATAGAGAAAATGGAAAATTAAAACTAGTGGCCTTCAGTTAATAAAGTGACTTACAGGATTCATTTCTTTTGATTGTATATACTAAATTTTACCTTTTAATGGTTGTTTATACACTTGGCTTTTTTGTGTGCACGGTTTTTATTTTGTGTTTTATGCTATAAGTTGTGTGTAGTGGTCTGTGATGGAAATAAAATACCTACCTATCTATAATGTTAAATCCACTAATCCTTTTGTGGATTAGTACTAAACCTTTTTTTGGTAATCCCATTGTTTTTGCAAACTTTTAAAAATGTATGTTGAATTTTAATTTGTATTCAGTTGACTGTATAAACACATAGAGGGGAGATCATCATCACCATTGAAACTATTTTTTTCCACCCCCCCTTTTTTTTCAGGAACAAGTTTGTGGAATTTGATATGAAGCCTGTCTGTAAGAAGTGCTATGAGAAATTTCCTCTGGAACTCAAGAAGAGACTAAAGAAGTTAGCTGAAACTTTGGGAAGGAAGTGAGACACCCTGTTTCACATTTCATCATGCAGTACAACATTTATGAATGGATAACTTTGTTACAAGTGTCATTTCGTTAAGTATTTGAAACTTAAGTTCAAAAAAAAAAGTATTTCTCTTTTCTTCTGGCATTATTAGCTTCATACTAAAATGTTTGCCTTGCCTTTAAAAAAATACCTCGAAGCCCCTTAACATCTGAGGAATATGTGGTTTTCCTGATGTAGTTGGACTGCAGATAAAATCAGGCCTAGCCAGCATAATAAATGATGATGGTAGTTGTAATCCAATAACATCTAGAACCCCATGCATTCCCTAGCTCCACTCTTCATATTATGTCACCTCATATCCAACCATTTAAATTATATATTACACTTATATAAATTTGTAGATAAATACATTTATATTTGCTCAGTAGATAGTGAGTGAAAAATGAGTTGATGCTGGTGCTAAATAGCTTAACTGGGAATAATCTAGCAGATTTTCCTTAACAAATAGACCAAACCCCATTTTAAACTCTTAACACAATTTGTCTCTCAAGTGAAGATAGTTGAGCAAAATAGAAAAGATTTTTAAAGCCTACATCTAGAGTCATAGATGTGCCCAGCAGCCTATGTGACAGATTTCTTACCACCTAACCCCCAAAACTGGCTCTAGAACATTTTCCATCCTTCTAGAATAGGTTTTGAGGGGTGCATGGGGGACTGCACTGAGGGATACCCAAAAGGTGCAAATAGATCATCAGAGGCTGGAATTGTTGACAAGAATACTGTTGCTTAACATAACAAGTCACAGCTAGAATAGGCCCATTCGAATCGATGGAACATATGGAGAAATTGAATCATCAAATCCCCACTGATTCAGTGGTCCTGCTTTAATGTGTCTTCTTATGCTAAACAAAAGGATTTCAGCCATTAAGTTACATTTAATTTATGGAGCTTATTTCTGAGTAGAAAATACAAGATAAACTGCTAAGTGTCCAAAAAAATCACCTACTCATGGGCATATAATTAAATGGTCACCAATATCTATATACATGTGTGTGTTTTAAGGCATTCTTGTATCACAAAGAATCTCTTCTGCTGAAGCCTTTGCAGTGTAAATGAAAATTTAAGACAACCTGTCCCCTCCCCCATGAAGTTGGACTACAGATTGCAGCATCCTCTGCCATTCATTGTTCTAGAAGGAGTTGCAGTCCAAGAAAAATCTAGGGAGGCAAGTTGCCTGTGCTTGGTTTGGGGATCATTCTAGCTGCTAGAATATCTCTTACTCAGCTGTGAGCTTGAGTGTAGTCATATTAAAATCTGTGACACCAGTGCCTAGAAATGATCAGGGCTCTGAAACTGGTAGTTCTGGTTAGAAAGGGTAGAAGGCAGTAGATAAAGAGGAAGACCTAATGTGAGACAGAGAAAACAAAGGTACAGAATTAGTTTACAAAACCTGAGCAGAACTTAAAGTGATGGGATCTTAAGGCACATAAAAACAATGTGCTTGACAGCACATAACACCAATAGTTTTCATTAACTAATATCTGTTTTTGAGCTAACGAGAAATACCAGCTAGATTTTCAAAAACGTTATGCTGTTGCCTTGGCTATAGATTTAATAATAATAGTAATAAATTTGAAATAGCAGTCTCAAAACTTTGGAAGAAACCATATGCCACCAGGAAGTCTTTTTAGTCTTGTTTGTTAAATTATGAGAAAGAACCTGAGATATTTACATTATTGAAGAAAAAAACTCAGAGTACTATCTAATACTGACTGAAATCCTGTTGTTTAGCATATTAAGTTGCAACTAGAATAGACCCTTTAAATTAGTGGAACCTATGTAGGTGGTGACTTACAAAATCCTCACTGATTCAGTGGGCCTACTTTAGTTGCATTTTACCACACTAAGCAATAGTATTTTAGCTTTAAGTTAGACCATTAATGCATCCAGTGCAGTTTTGTCAACTGACTGGCAGGATCTGTCCAGGAGTTCAGACTGGATTCTTTTTTAGCTGTAGCTAAGAATCCTGGTACTTTATGTCAGTCTTCTCATCCAAGTACTAACGAGCCCTGAACATACTCAGCTTCCCAAAACAGAGAGGCTTCGGTATATTATGGGTAGATTGGTGGGTCCACATTGAGGGTCTGCTGAGATTCTGTACTTTACAGCTCCTGGAATGTGTATGTTAAAGAAGCCTTATTTCACAATGTAATAAATGCAGATTTTTTTTTCAGATATTTTTTCAGTTGAGCAGTATACAAAAGGTTAAAGGTTATAGGTTTGATAAAATTATAGTAGGATAACACCAGAAAGCATAAATTCAAGATTAGAAACCCAAGTGGAAAATGGCAAGAGTTCTATATCACTAGAAATATATATGCATGGATCTACTTGAATTTTTGTGCAATGTTCCGCTATAATTTTGTATTTTGTTTCCTTGTTGTGCCTTATTCTGCCACATATATGCAATATTAGTCAAAATATTTACCCTTTATATTCTGCTGCCTTGTATTTTTGTGCAGAAAATATATACCATGTCTTTCAGTAGAAGTTATACACCGTACTAAACATTTTGGACTTGCATATTTTTTTAATGAAGGAGGATGCTTGAGGTTTTTTTTTAGAGCATTCTTCTTTCCCCCCTCAGCTTCCTTATTTTAAAATAGTATTCGAGGTAAAAGCTAAACATGTCCCAGTTCAAACTGAGATTATGTTGTGTCAATTAGTCAATAAAATACAGTGTCAACTGTTTGAAATTTCTAAACGTTCTAGATATGGATTAAATTCTATTAATACTATAGTTCTATATAAATCTAATCAAAAGTCCCATCCACTTCAGTGAAGTTTGTTGTTGGTTGTGTATTGTAGAGCTGCATTTAATGGTACTAACTTCTGAATAGTCATCTGTAAGATTCTACTGTAATAAGCATGTCCGGGTTGGAGAATTACAAAGGAACTCTTGCTTTTTGTTTATAACCAATTTTATTATTACTACCATTGCTGTCTTAAAAGTTCAGGGCCTCTTACAGTGTAAAAATAAAAAATCCAAAAAACATTTTATAGTGATATAAAAATTCAACATTTCTTCAATATGAATCTTAACTGTAAATTCATAGCCACTCCAAAAATACAAAATGTCTGAACCATCTCATATTGCCTCGTTTCCTATGGTAGCTGCAACTCCTTTCATTTTATATAGCTATCATCTTAGAACTGCAGAGCTGAAAGGGACTCTGTGGATCATCAAGTCCAGCCCCTGACAAGGAGGCACAGTGAGGTTTAGATACCTAAACCACTGAGCTATTTGGCAGTTCTCTTTGAAAAGTATTGTTAAAAATATTCTGGAGCTGACAATCAAATGTCCTGGCAAGAATGGATCTCTCTTTTTCTTAAATGGGTCATGGAAGAAAGAATAAACGTACATACTGCCGTATTTCCTACTTACTCCGCAGTGTGGGCCACCTAGTAGATTTATATTGCACTTTTCTTTGCTAAATACAATTTCTGGGCAGAGCAATCCTGTATTCATCTGAGATGATTGTCGGATGAAGAAGATGCCATTGCTAATCCGGTGCAACAGCCACCATGTCCACCATGTACTAAGACCGGGAGGAGAAAACCACACAACACTACAAAATACAAATACTGTAACATTTGTCCCAGCAAATGCTACCAGAGGATGTCCACTTGATACAATTGTAGCAGCAATGTTCAGATGCCATCCACTTATGGAACAAACCAAGGAAGCAACAAATAGAGCATCATGTGGGAAGCAGATACAACGTGCAAAACGATGTTTCATCAACCCCATGTGAACCCAGTGGTGAACCCACTGCTGCTTTTTCCTAGCCATCCTCGACAGAAATGGATTGTTCTCACCACTGTTTCTTCTGAGCATAACTCATGCAATGAAGAGCACTGGGAAGGATGAAAGCCTACAGAAACACCAGTTACGCAGTTTCTTGGGCAAGGACTCTTCACAAATCTACACACTCTTCCTCAGACAAGAGCACAAGACCCCCTTCTTCTAATAAGCAGGGAATTCTGATGGAATCAAACTCTTGTGCAACTGATTCAGAGGATAACATTAGAATGTTTCAGTGATAATAATACTTGTGTACCATCATTTAGATTTCAATTTACGGTGACCCTTCCCAGGGTTTTCTAGGTATAAAGTACTGTATTCAGAAGTGGTTTCTCCTTCCATTCTTCTAGAGGCACTCTGGGATCATGTAGCTTGCCCAAGGCCACCCAAGCTGGCACTTGTCTTATAAAACACACAATGAGATAGATATCCAACTTCTGTACACCTCAGAAATATTCCTAGAGGAAGAATAACATTGCCTTCCATTGTCACATAGATGTTTCATATCAGCATCTTTTCAAAACAGCCCAAGTGCATTATGTTTTCACAATTTCCTTACCACTTGACGATATTGTGATCAGCTTCTTACTAAGTGTTTTGCAACTCTTCAGACCAGATACCAGGCTCTCACACTGACTGTCACTTTGCTTCAACGAAAGTTACAATTTGTACAAAGCTAGACTTTCCACTGTGATTGTATGTTTCTAATTGTCCACAATGGCTGCTCTGATGCTTGCTGCTGATGGCAATGTTTTCTCAAGGTTGGCACGGTCAGATTAATATCAAGGGAATAACCCTTTCCCCAAGTAGCTATAGAAGCAGCCAGGCGGTGAGCCATAAGGGTAGGCCTAGTGGACACAAGCTGAGCAGCAGCCTTCAGTGGCTTCCTGAGTAAGGCTGAGGACTGAAACACCAAGACTAGAAGTTTCGGCCCAACCAGAGGGAAAAAGGAAAACATCCTCACACATATTTTCTATGCTTTGGCAAGGAGAAGCCGTATCTGAAGAAAAAGAGAGTAACTTGAATCCACATGCAAACATCACAGAGCCATTCCCTAACAATTCAGTCATAGCTAGAGAGGGCAGAGGCATATCATGGGGCATTTATTTCTCTCAGGGCCCACTCATAAGGCAGCAGGTGGTACTGTGGGCCATGGGGCTTGGTTTTGTGGAACACTGTTCATTGAATAAATTCTGTATCATGGTATATGTAGAGAGAAGGAAAAGATTTATGTTCACACATCTGCTCTGTTTCCCACAAGATACAGTGCTCATATATGCTAGGGAGGATCAGAGAATATACTAGAAGCAGAGCATACATAGTGTATAACACATCCCTAGCTTCCCTGTGTAGAGTGTTCTCTCCTAGAATCACTGGTAAGTACACTGGAGTGGAATTTAGTGCTGACTTGCATTTGGAAACCTAGGATGATGTGTGTTACAGTAACCCTAATAGGGCTTTCAAGGTATGGGAAATCTTTAAAGAGTTGTTTACCAGTTCAGATTCCCCCCCTCCGAATTTCCGAATTTCCATAGCTGAGCAGGAATTAGAACCCAAGTCTCCCAAAGCCTATCCATCATTCTATATTCTGCACCACATTGAATATCCTGAGGTGAGATACTCCTTAGGATTCCAGTTTAAAAACATTAGCAATGTGTTCCATGAAAGTTCCCATATTTGTTCTGAGGCCAGGCTGTTATTTTCTGTTTCTTTTCCCTTTGGCCACTGTTTCTCCTGTTATAGTTCCATCTTGTGAGTTATGCATGCATACATGAACCTAAAGCAGTAGTTTCCAGCCTAAAGTAACCCAGGTGTTCTTGGACTGGAACTCCTAGAAATCCCACCAAACAGCTGGTGAAGGTTTCTGGGAACTGCAATCCAAGAATGTCTGGGTTACCCAAGGTTAGGAATCACTGAAGAAATATCCATATACAAAACTGATCTTACTTTTAAATATTGTCTTTTTAATGATGTGAGCCACTTTGGATCCTTTTTAAGGAGAAAGTTGTGGTAAATAAACATAATACTGTAGTGGGTTTTCTGAGTTGTCATGCTTTGAGGTCAATATATATGCTAGTGATAATGTGCTGTGTGTTCAGTTGTGCCATGTCCCCTGATCTGCTGGACATACGAAAGGAATTGTTTTCAGTATTGGGATCGCTGTTTTCCCTCACCCACCCCCACTTCCCATTCAAGCCTGTGGGACTCATGTCCATAAATTAATAAACTCTTGGTCTGGGGAGTGTTGCAAAGTTGTTTGGCAAGGCAATTCCATAATAAAAGCCTAGATTTTTTTTTAAATTAGCAATGCTTCATATAGAATTTTTTTAAAAAGATACTTGAAATCCAGCATTTCGGTGAAGCAGTGCCCTTATTAGCTATATGCTTGGAAGAACTATGTAAGCAAATGACTGGATTTCGGAGGAGTGATAGACCCTCTTTCCTTCGCCTACATTTTTTTCTTTGCATACAAGAAAAGGAAGATCACATCATTATTAGCGCAGCTCTTACTCTGTGTGTGTGTGTGTGTGTAATTCCTTGAGGTACGTATTAGATAAATTACCATAGAACACCCCAAGGGATTTTATAGATCGATAAAAAAACGTAAGAGCTGTGCTAATAAAGACGTAATCTTCCTTTCCTCCTATGTAAACGCCCAGCTATTCGGTGACAATTCTGCATAAACTCCTAGCCTCTTCTCCATGCGAAGTTCTCCTTTTTGCCTATGGGAATTTTGAAAATAAGGGTATAAAATAAGTAGTCACTTTCACTTCCTCACACTAGAGCCCCATATTCGTATTGGAGTCTAAAAAGGGACACAAGCAATACGGCCAAGTTCTATGGGTCAGAGCGTGCTGACATCACGTCCTGTGTTTCACGCCTCATTTCCGTCGGGGCACCGCTGACGCCACAGCGCTATTTAATGCTGCGCGGCCCGGCGCTTCTATTTGGCGTCATTGGTAGGCGAGAGGCGTCGCTGCGAGACCGGCTCGGGTTCCCGCCCGCCTTCCTCTTGCGCTTGATTCAGGCTTGAGGGGAAAAACAAACGAACCAAGACTAAAAAGACGGTGGAGGGTCGGGAGCCCCACGGCATTCTTCGGTGGCCCCCATGATGAGGCGCAGCAGGGCGGAAGTAGACCGCTATGTCTCCTCCTTGCAGGCCTCGGCGCCTTCGCCCAGAGAGGTGAGGGGGGGGGTGGGGGTAGGGAATACGAGTGGGATGGTTGTGCGCGCGGGAGGTTCCTTCCGTTTTTTCCCCTCTTCTCCGTTATTCTTGGAAGCGTTCTAAGGCGACTGGTGAATGGTTTTCTCAACTGTCTGTTTTTAAAACTGTTCTATAAACGAACGAGCTTCGGCCCGCGCGGGGACCGCAACGGGCGTCATGAGTCGCGTTTCTATGGGAGGGAAAAACGGCCAAATGAGACGGGCCTTGCCTCTTCCCACTATGCCTATCACTAAAGCAGCACTCCAGGTTAATGAATAGCTGTTAGTTGTGTATCAGGGGTTAAGTACGTGTCTTCCCCACTTTTCAGCGTGCCCCCTTCCTCCTCTCCTTTATTCTCACAACAACCCCGTGAAGTCGGGTTAGGGTAGGAAGGTGACTGGCTCATCCAGTAAAAAAAGGAGGCTCCTGGGGGGCGCTGGAACTTAGATGTTCTCTGTTTCAACATCTTTTGTAGCTCTGTTATTCCCCACAGCATACTGGCTTTGGACAGTCAAAAAGTAAAGACTCCTGTAACTTCTAAATTTTCCAGCCAAAACTGTGCTCATGACCTGGGGTTCAAATCCCAGGTAGCCGGCTCAAGGTTGACTCAGCCTTCTTTCCTTCTGAGGTCAGTAAAATGAGTACCCAGCTTGCTGGGGAGGCAATGTGTAGCCTGCATAATTAAGTTGTAAACCGCCCAGAGAGTGCTTGAAGCGCTATGGGGCGGTATGTAAGCAGCACGCTTTGCTTTTTTGCTTTTGATGCTCTTTTACATGTTTTGTACCATTCTAGGGGGGAATCACAGTAGCCCGTACATATTTTGTCTTTTCTTTTCGTAAAAGCATAGCAACCTTTTCTTGGCCAGGTCTTGACAATCTATAATTACCTGCCGCTTTTTTATTTTTATTTTTTTATTTTATTTAATTTATATCCCGCCTATCTAGTCACGATGGACTACTCTAGGCGGCCGTTTTCTCTTTTTCGCCGTTTCTCTTTTTCAAGCCAATATGCTCTGGCCATTAAATATCAGTAAGGTTTTTGCAAGTTGGAGGTTTGATTCTTTACGAAAGAAAGATGTTGAGACTTCTTCGAACATTCCAGTCTAGTGGAGTAAAGATTGGTCCTGCTGGTGTTTTGTTTCTCAGGATGAAAAAAGGCCATAGAACAGTAATGTCAAAATCCACAGAGTATCCTAATCATTTTTCAAAGATAATTCAAAAGAAATAATTCAAAATTTCCAAATGTGCAACGCAGGGCTCTTTTAATTGCCTTGTTACCATTCAACTTTGTCCATGCATAAATATTTGAGTATTTCTAACAGTAGCCAGCAGTTGCTTCCTCTTATTGAAATCTTGCAACAGCCAAAACTTATTTAATGAGAAGCAGTTTTTGATAGTTGAAATCACACACAAATGAATGTGATTTTTAAAAATGTCTTTCCTGCAGTTTTAAAAACATTGCATTGTGCTGAATTTTACACTATTCAACCTAAGAAGCAAGGCAATAAGTTGCACTTTTTGCTGTTAACAGTTGTGATTTAGGATCTGCCAGGGATCAGAATAAACTCTGATTCTAAGGCAATTGTAAAAATTAGTGTCAGACTGATTAATAACTGGTAAAGCAGAACACTGAGAACAGAATGCCAAGTAGACAGATTTTCCAAGTATGGACACTATTAAAACAAATCTAAAAAAAATGATTAGATTTCAGAATTAGTAGGAGAAAAGAAATGACTGCAGTAAATAGAACATGCTAATTAAAACACTAGACCAGTGGTTCCAAACCTTGGGTCCCCAGATGTTCTTGGACTAAAACTCCCAGAAGCCCTCAGCACAGCTGTGCTGGCCAGAACATCTGGAGATTCAAAGTTGGGAACCACTGGTTATTGCAGACATATTTGAGGTTGTTGGCAAAGTGTCCTGAAGTCTCTGGTTAAAATGCTAGTGTTCTCCATGATATCTCTCAAGATTCTGACCCTGACAGAAAGGTTCACACAAACTATTGAGCCACACTTCCCATACTTTCCTGGTGTGAATAATTTCCAGGAGGATCAAGTGCTGCTGGCTGTGGAAATCTTCCTGTCTGGTCCCCTCCTGCTTGTCTGCCCCTTCAGTGCTCCAGCGAGTTACCAAATATCACAAGGCTGTTTGCTTGAAACCAAAAGCCAACCATGTAAGGTAAAATATCCCACCGAATGTTCAGGATCCTGAGGCAAGGCACTTTCTTTAGTATGCACAACCCCCTTTTTTGAATGACTGTATAGTTGAAAAAGAATTATTACAGTATTTTATTAAAGGTGTTGCAAAAGAAATTAAAGGTTCAGAAGCAAATTCAAAACTTCAAGTAAAATCAAAAAGCTGGAAGAGTCCCCACAGAAAATAAGAAAGCTGACTGGCCTATATTAATACTTGCAATACAGTGAAATGTAAGCATAATTCCAGATTATAAACAGAATACATCAGAATAACTGGCAAGCATGGCATTTTCCTAAGAGACACTAGCCTGGTTTGCTCCATTGACTCCCTATACCTATTATCTATCCTTGATCTTTCAATGCCATTTCAACAAGCAAATCCAGGTTGTCCTGAATCTTTGAGTAGGAAGTAACTTTTCTGCAAAGTAACTTTTCTCTTACTCTTGTTGTGCTCCATCTGAAACAGTTTTCTTGCAATTACTGTGTTGTGCCTGAAAGAAGGCTTGGCCTTGGTTCCCGTAGATAACAACCAGCTGTGGGCTGTGTCTTAATTAAAGGGTAGTTACTCCCTTCCATTTCTCTTCAGTCCAAAACAACAGACATAAATATTAACAGGGCAATTAGATTTAATTGACCCTCTTTCTACCAGATAGTTCACAACCTCCCTAAATGGCCATAAGCAAGCCACACTTTTAGCCCTGAGACATTTCTCATTCCTGTCTGAGAGAACCTACTGCAGTTAGAAGACTGAAATAGTGTATGTTATAGAACTTCACAATGGGCAGAATAGTTATAAACGTAAAGTATTATTAGAAAAAAATTACAAATAAGGAAGAAATGTATCCTTTTGAGAAATACCACATGAAAAATCATTTCAGATGCAACTACAGTATTTAAGTCAGAAAAGATAACATAAGCCACTAGCTCAGAACTCTTATTTCAAAATATCTGATTTACTTGCAGTGATATCAGAGCTACTAATTTCTTTAATATCCTCATACAATTTGTAATTTTCAACCGCAGTCTTCTGAATTGGAAAGCCCTAACTTCTGCAGTGTGAACAAGTGGGATTTGATATACAAACAGTTTTTGTTTCCTTTTTTTTAAAAAAATGTTTCTCTCTTTTTAGAAATCCATGAAAGGATTCTTTTTTGCTAAACTGTATTATGAAGCAAAGGAGTATGATCTTGCCAAAAGGTAATATTTCAAGAAACCTGTTCTTATTTCAACAAATACTGTATTTATGGTGTGATTCTGAATTATTTTTGTTAAACCTTTTAACAAAATAGAGTTCTTTTATTTTGTTCATTTCCTGTATGATATGTGTTCTGTTTATCCTAACCATATCATTTTTCTCTGTTTTTATGTAATTTGCAAGATTAATGGGAAATGTTGCTTCATACCATGTAGTGTGATCTTTAATTACTAAGCAAGATGCATAAAACCTATGGTTCCTAATGCATTAACCTCTAGAATGGACTCACAACACCTATCCCTGTTCTAGATTAATTTGAGGAGTCTAAAATGGCTGACACACTAACATACTATGCTGTTTTTATGAAGGTATATATCTACATATCTCAGTGTCCAAGAAAGAGATCCCAAAGCACACAAATTCTTGGGACAACTTTATGAAGCTGAAGATAACATAGAGAAGGCTGTAGGTTGTTACAAGGTAAGAAAGAACCAATTTCATGCTTTCTGTTGTTAGATACTGGCTGAAATTATGGTTCTTTGGTTTTGATGTATGATTTTATGTGTGACAATGTATAACTTTCAGTCCTTTCCTAGCTGGAAAATAAAGAGTCCTGATGCAATTCTTGAGGGTGTGCACACACTCTGACTTAGGACATACGTGTGTTTCTCTTGAGAATGGCAACGGGAACCTGTTTGCCAGTGGACTGAAAGTTACAGGTTTTCTTACTTTAATCAACTGGATTACAGTTACTGAGTCTGAAATACTGTTTTTTAGATAGATTGCTTTGCCTGTTTCAGTGGTTCCCAAACCTGAACCTGTTTGCCAGTGGACTGAAAGTTACAAGTTTTCTTACTTTAATCAACAGGATTACAATTACTGAGTCTGAAATACTGTTCTTTAGATAAATTGCTTTGCCTATTTCAGTGGTTCCCAAACCTAATTCCCCAGATGTTCTTAGACTAAAACTCTCAAAAGCCTGATTCAGCACTTTCTGTGCTGTCCAGGATATATGGGACATGTAATCCAATAACATCTGGGGATCCAAAGATGGGAACCACTGGTCTATTTTATTTGGAACATACAGTATTTTAGAATGTTAAGAAGCATATTCTAAAAGGTGTACTATCCAGATGAATATGTTTGTTGGCTTAATGATGCTTACCAGTGGCAATTGCAGTGAACTTCTGTGTTTCCCCAAGAATTAATGAGGCTTGTGAATGCATAAGGGTGTAATGAATTGTGGGTTGAAGTGCAACCAGCTCCCACCCACCCCCCGCAAATGAAGTACTCAACCCCAAGGAAGCAATTACGTATTAAACCATCTTCTTAGATTACCAGAAAGGAATTGAGTAAATGTTTGAACAATCCTAAATCCATGGCACTATGATTAATGAAATCAAAAGATTGTTGTTCTAACCGAATCAGCAAGGCATAACTTGCTGTGTTTTTTCTCTCTGAGAACCAGTTAAAAGCTTTTCATCCTTTGGCTGGTATTGTCAAATAGCAGGAAAATAATAGTCATTTAAGAAATCAGATTTATTTTTAAAAATCTGCCAACTTGATTTCAATTAATCCACCCTGGATTGAAGCATCGTTTGTTTCCCAGATTGGAGTAAAGGATGCTCACATTTGGATCAGGTATTGAAGCATTATGTAAGGTGATTTTATGAGTCTTATTCAGATTTTGTGTTTTACAGAACAGCAGCAAAATTTTCTTATGTGCCAGAGCTTCTTTTAACATGAACTCTTGTGACCTAGTCATCTGTACTGCAAAATTCTGTAGTACAGAAAAATGGAACTGAAGTATGTGTTTTTGCTTTCTTTCATTGGTATTTCAGCGTTCAGTGGAGTTGAACCCAACACAGAAAGACCTCGTACTGAAGATTGCAGAACTACTATGCAATAATGACATTACTGATGGAAGAGCAAAATACTGGGTTGATAGAGCAGCAAAACTCTTTCCTGGAAGCCCTGTAGTTTTCCATCTCAAGGTAATTTTTCCTTAATATTCATAGACATTTTCAAAGTGTAGCTGTGTTAATTTGTTGCAGCAAAAACAAGGTGCTTTGTAGCACCTTGAACAGTTTTATTTAGCGCAAACTCTTCTGGATCGCGGCCCACTTCAGCAGTATGTTGCTGTCTACAAAAGCTTGTTTTAAATAAATTTTCCTTGTTCTTGAGATGTGGCAGGACTGCCTTTTTTAGAAAGAGAATCAAAATTGCAGTTCTTTGGTTTTGATGTATGATTTTATGTGTGAGCCCCTCTGACCCCAGCAAGGTCATATGAGTTTCTCTCTTGCATTCTTTGTTCCATAAATGATGACAGATTAGTTGATTTCAAAACAAATTGTATTGAATTTGAAGATGAATTTTCAGCAACATCAACTAAACTTGTGTTTGGTTTTGGCTCATAACTGTCAATAATACAAGGTGTGCTTCCCCCATCTGCATGTAATGACATGGAACTGGTTCTCTGAACTGGCACCTGGCTTGTTACTTTGGTCCCAAGAAAAGGTTACTCCAACAAGGATGGCTTAAATGTCCATCTCAGAATGGAATTTCTCACCTCTCATCTTCTGTTCTTACTCAGCTTTCCTCTGTCTGGATTATTGATCCTTTCCACTGATTCTCTGGCAAGATTTCTCTTGGTATCCAGACTGGTCTCGGGATGGCTGTTTCTGGGCTGGACAGCACTTTTCCCTTCTTTTCTCCCCAGTTAAGATGATTTGCAACCAGTTTGGGGGTTAAGGTGTCTTGCTGCCTCTTCCTTGGGGATCCATCCAGAGGTCCTCATTACACATTTATTCCCATTTCTTGGGGCTCTGTCTCCTTAGGACCCTCAATTTCTACATTATTTACTACTTCCCTCTGTTCATCTAAAGTATCTTCCTATGGCTCTTCTCCCTCAGAAGGTCCCCATCTGCCTCTGCCATTCCTTTCTCCTCTCCTGTTGCCCTTAACTCCATTTTTATATCTCACATCTTCCTAGGGTCTCTTCCAGGGCTATTTTCCTTTTTTCCCCAGTCTCTTCTGGCACCACCTCCTTTTTTGTGTCACTTAAGAAACCACCTGTTTGGGAAATCGCATTATCTCCTGGTTTCTCCTCATGAGAATTGGGGGAGGGAAGATGAAATGGCCTGCCAACAGGGGCCTTCATGCCTTTGTCCTTCTCTTCACAATACAAATGTATGATTTTTGTCTATTATCTTTCCCACAGGAGCGTCTGTTAGATTGCAAAAGTGAAGATGGTTGGAATCAGCTTTTTGATTTGATCCAGTCAGAATTATATGCTAGGCCAGATGATGTATATGTGAACATCAGATTAGTAAAACTGTATATGTCAAACAAACGCCTTGGAGATGCTGTGGCACACTGTCAGGAAGCACAGAAGAAGATTTCTTTGCAGTCAAGCTTGGAATGGTGCTCCTGTGTTGTACAGACATTTAAGGTTTGTTCAGTTATATTTCTCTATCTTGTAAAATCCTTCCCTTTCTGAAGTATCGTAGCATGTATCCTTGACTGAGAGTGAAACACTGCTTATGTTTCCTCTGTGAGATCATTTGCATTTCAGAAGCTACTTTTGGTAATATCTAAGCAAAGAAGGAAGGAGAGGATTAGGACCCCATGATCCCACAGCTTTCTGGTGTTTGGAGGTGTAGATGCCAATCCACATATATTCAGCTCACAGAAAAGCTATTTCATAGTTTCTGTGAGAACATTGTAGACAATACTAAATTGAAATGTCTTCATCTATCCACCTGTTGCATAAGCAGAATCATGAAAACTGTCCGCAGGCATATCTTCCCAGCTCTTGAGGTTGTCATTATTTTTCCTTGATTTAGTTCTTGACTCTTTCAGTGGAAAATGAAATAGGGCCTGATACTGCTTATAGGCTTGATGATTAAAGCTTTGTAACAGGCTGTGACTTCTGAATGATTTCCCACAGGAATATCTGGAATCTGTACAGGACTCTGAATCTGACAAAATTAGTTGGAGAAAGATTCATCAGGACCTCTTATTGGCTTACTCCAATTTGGTTGTAATGACACTTTCAAACAGAGGTGTAGAAGAAAGCAGAGAAGCCCTTGAAAGGTATCATTTTTGGTATAATTTACACTGCTCTTCAAATGTAGTAGAAAAATAACCATATTTATGTGTTGACTGCTTATAAAGTACCTTTGAAGATGTGAGTTTTTAAATGTTTGTTTTCTCTTGTACTTCTCTTTGCACTTTTCTAGTTTTTGTATGTGAAGAAATAACAGAGAGATCAGTAAGGGGCAAAAGAGAAAAGAAATGTACAGTCAACCCTCGATTTACGAACTTAATCCATTCCAGAAGTCAGTTCGTAAATCGGAAAATTCATAAATCAAGCCAGCATTTCCCATAGGAATGCATTGGAAACCAATTAATCCGTTCTGGCCAAAGTCCTCCCATTGTGCTGGGGAAGCAAGGCTTTTCACTCGGTGTTGCTGCGGCTGCTGAGTCCCCTTTGCGCCAGGCCAGGGACTGAGCTCAGCCGGCACAAAGGGGACTCAGCATCGGGTGAAAGGAGGGAGCAGATTTTTCCCTGGCTGCCCCGCTTGCTCGTCATTTGGAGAAGCAAGCCGGGCGGCCGGGGAGAAATTGACTCCCTCCTTTCACCCAATGCTGCCAGGCCCACTGTATCTGAAGGATGTAAAGAGTTCTTACTAGGCACAGCACATTGCTCTTTTTTTAGAAGAATAAGTGTTGAGCCTTGAAAGTGTTACCGTTTCTCATGAATATCTGTCTTACAGCTTTGATCATGCACTTAATTCAGTGAAGCCACATGCAACTGGAGGTGATGAACTTTTTGTAACTTTCTTGGAAATGAGAGGCCACTTCTACATGCATGCTGGAACTCTCCTATTGAAAATGGCACAGCACAGTGAGATGCAATGGAGAGCTGTTTCTGAATTGGCAGCTTTATGCTACCTCCTAGCTTTTCAGGTAAGTTGTTCTTAAAGTAACTTTTTATTGATGTATTGGAGTGTTTCTGCTGAACTGAATGGTTATAAAGGATAGGACAGGAATGGGCAGGTTCAAGGATGAGCTGATTCATTGGGTCTCCAAAACCACTGTGAGCTGCACCCTGCTCTGCCACCATGCCTGCTACAAAAAGAAAATCTTCCCCATTTTCCTTCAAAATAAGGTGCTCAGGGAGCATAGACTTTGTGTTCAAGCCAAACTGCATTTTGCTTTAGTCTTTATGTTCCATCAGGTTTAGCAAATAAAACCCAAATAGGGTTTTTGAGGTATTTAAGATATTGAAGAGGGGGTTTACTATTGCCACTCCCCTAGTGAATTTCTGTAGCAGAGCAAGGATTAAAACCCAGATCTCAGGAATTCTAGTACAACACTGCTACACCACACTGACTCTCTTCACTTTTTGTCACCATGGCAAATTCAGTGACAGGATTTCAGAAATAGGCTGGGGCACATACGGAATCCGCGGTCTGCAGAATCTGTACAAATAATTTTATATTGGCATACATGTTTAATCATATGCACTATGGATTTCCTGGCAGTCACTGTATTCATATTGGCCTCACAACACAATCTTCTGCTGTATGCCATCTAGAGGTTCCCTGTTTCGCTTACCGATCACTGCAAAGCGATTTTTTAACAGCTGATCGGATGATTTTCAAAATGGCTGCTGGCTAAAAAAATGGCTGCCCGCTGTGTTTTTGCACGGATCCCTCGCTTAAGAGGCAGCGAAAATGGCCACCTTATGGACGATCTTCGCTTTAAGGTCAGTTTCCAGCCCATAGGAATGCATTGAAGGGGTTTCAATGCGTTTCTATGGGCTTTTTAATATTGCATAGCGACAAAATCGCTTATCAGCGATTTTTGCTGCGCGGATTAACGTCGCTGTGCGAGGCACCACTGTATTTGGTTCAGAATTTGAATCAAAATCTTGTAATGAGAGAATTTTTGAATCGACTATCCAAGATTTCTGCTCTTCTTAGAAAAACTGGTTTTATTCCTAAATGTACTAGCAGTGCCACATCTTGAGGCAGAATTCCTTATATTTGTCCGTTTTCTCACAGGTTCCTAGACCAAAATCAAAATTAATAAAGGGAGATCAAGCTGAACAGGAGAAGTTGGAAATGTTAGCCTGCGACCGGCAGAGCCAATCTGGTAAATTTATTTATTTTTATTCATGTGCCACCCTTGTCTGAGGGTTGAGACCTAATGTGGCTTAAAACACAGCCTTTTATGAATATTAAAACCTAATTAAATAAGTTCTAGCTTTAAAGCACTGTTACATTAAAATGATAACGATAACTTATGTTAAAATCAAAGGAAATTCAGCATACAGTATTAAGTTAAAATACATGCCCTTAGAAACTGCTTGGTTGAAGAGCTGCCTGAAGTTTTTTTTTAAATGTTCTTAGCTTTCCAGCAAATACTGTAGGTAGAAAAGACCACATGGAAGTGCTGTCTTGTGTGTTAAACCCAATAAGCCTCTGAGGGTGAGACTGAGAGACGATCCTCTCCTGAAAATCTCAGAGCCTGGGCAGACATATGTGGGAGAATGTGATATTTCGGATAGCGTGAAACTTAAAAAAAAAAAAGAATTGTAGTTCATAACCATTACTTTGAATTATGCCTGGAAGTAATAAGGTGTTTGCATATTTCCTGTTACTGACCAAGGTTGGCAGCCTGGCAGCGGCATTTTGTGCCAGTTGAAGTTTTCAGCTGCTTTTAAAAGATAGCTCCAAGTATAGTATGTTGCATTAAGCCAAGTGAGGTGTATAATTAAGGAGTGTGTGACCACAGCAAGATCACACATTTCTAGAAATGTGATAAAGATGATAAATACTGATTTTAAAAGAAATCACGCACACATAAAAAGCCAGAGCTACTGATATTTAGTAACATGTTTCACTGGGTTGAAATTAAAAGTAACACACATTAAAGCTAAAAGTTTTAAGAACAGGAAGCAGAATACTGAGAACGTTCAACTCATTTTGTTATCGCATTCAGCTTACAGAATTTTCAGACCTACATTTTCCCCCCTTTGTGAATGGGAAGTTTCAGTTTTAGGAATTAAAGTCTCAGGATTCTGACTTTGGGATAGTACAGTTGATAAAGTTTAAACTTTAAGCCAAATTTAGTACTTGTTATTGCAATCTCAAGTTTTTTCCCCCTTTTCAGGACACATGTTGCTAAACCTCAGTTATGGCAAGCAGGACTTCTTCAAGGAAGTTGTTGAGTCATTTGCAAACAAGAGTGGGCAATCAACTTTATTTGATGCACTGTTTGGAAATGGTTCTTCTAAGGAATGTTCATTCCTCAGCACAGACAATATCAGAAACATTGGTGTACAGGGACCAGAATGCATCGAATTAACTAGATATGACACTGGTAAGTAGTTTGGTTTGAGTGTTGATGAAATCCTCATAAATATAATGTATATTGTATGATGGATGCACATGATTTGCCTTCAGATCAAAAGAAGAGAGGGAAATATAAATGAGTAGTCACAATGTCATCAGGAGAAGACTCTTCTGCAATCCCTTAGGTTACAATGTGTGCACTTCTGGTCCCCTTCGGATCCCTCTTCACACACATTTATCAATTTTTTAAAGTTTCAGGATCTCTGTGTGCCATCTAAAGGGCATGGAGGTCAATGTTACCATGTTTTGAGGAGTTCGATCATCATTGCCCCCATAATTACCACATTGTAAAGAAAACTTTTTTATAATAGAGAGCATAAATTGGCTTTTTAATTTAAAAAAAACCCAACCTATTTGCTAGAAGATTGCGATGTATGAGCGCCATGGAAGAAGGTGCAGGCCTTTAAGTTCCAAGAATCAGCACTGAAATTGCCCACTTTGCTATAGCCACTTAGGCCAGCATTCAACAGTCTACTTCCTTTGGATTTCACTACTTCTCTCAGTGCAGTAGTAGACATTTTGTCTTTCCCCTTCCCACTGCTGCCTCCTCTGGTTCTGAAAATCAGCTGTAGAAGAATATTTTGGGGCACACTGGAATGGGCTTTAGAGCAGGCTTGCCCAACCTGCGGCCTGAGGGGGTCGCATGCGCCCCAGGTCAGCTCGTAATGCGGCCCAGTGCAATTTTTTATTTTTAAAGAAATTCCAAAGTTTCAAGTTACACTGCCGGCGCTTGCAGCCGAAATGTGGCCGGGGCATGTCACAACAGTAGAGGGAGAGAGAGGGAAGGAAGGAGTGGGAGGGGAGGGGACAGGGGGGCTGCGTGACTGCATTGCGCCGTCCCCGTCAATAGGTGGACCCCCTCCCGGCCCCGTAAAGCTGCCCGAGTCGAAGCTGGCAGCCTCTGCTGTCTGAGGTCTCAGCTACCAGTAAGCGCACTTGGAGCGGGGCTGCAGAGGACGGATGGGCTGCCCCCCCCGGGCCCAAACCAAATGTGTGTGCGGCCCAAACCAAATTTTCATCTTCTAATGTGGCCCAGGGAAGGTGAAAGGTTGGACACCCCTGCTTTAGAGGGACAGAACACTGATCTTTTTTCACTACTAAAAGCAGAGGAAGTATAACAATTGGATCCTGGTCTTAAATTCTACTTGTAGGTGAGTTATGATGATGATGGAAGCTGTTCATATGTTTATGATGAAACATCTTTGCAGCTGTTCTTCAATGAGGTAGCACATTGGTTCCCAAATAGGGGAGGGCATGCCCAGGGTGGTGACACATAGATATTCTCATGGAGAAAACGATACATTTTTCAACTTAAACATATTTCTGTGAAAGATTTTTAGACTTTAGGTTTTCTCAAAAGCTTTGTCTGCTTATTTTGATTTTGAAATTATTTTTACTGAGCATTTGTATTTGTTTTTAATTTTACCTTAAATTACCTTTTTTTTTTAAGGGCGGGTTGGATGATGGCAAAAGAGAGGTGAAGTGGCATGAGTCTTTCTCAAAAATTATGAAGGGGCTGTTCTGCAAAAGTTTGGGACCACTGAGGTAGCAAATAATGGTTATGCACCACAGTTCATGCCCCTGTGATTCTCTTAATTAGTCATAGTTTCAAATGCTGTCTACACTAATCTTGTTTAGGACTTGTGAGTGTGCCTGTAACCTAACAAGGTTCAGTGGGAGCCCAGTACCTGGAAAAACTACATCTCAGTCTTCCCCTGTGAAATTCATGGTTTTGAATTCCTGCATTTCAATCTGTGAGAATGTAGGTCCTCTGCTGCTACAAAATGTAACCCTAGCTGCTGGTTGCCTGGTAATCCCAGGATCTTGATGGAGTAGGCAGTGGAAAAGCAAGGGAGCTGGAAAATAGAGAGGGGGAAGGATGAACAAGAGGAAAGGATGCAAAGTATCAAGAAAAGGAGGGTGGGAAGGCAAGAAGTCAGAGAAAGGAGGAGGGAAAGTGAGTGCCTAGGACAAGGTGACGAGAGAGGTGATGGCACGAAAGTGGATAGGGAAGTTGGGAATGAATGACACTACCTGCCAAGACTGTGTTGCCTGCTATGAGTATTGACTGTGTAGCACAGGAAAACCCAGTGGGCAAAACAAAAGAGGAAGAGCTGGAGGCAGGGAGGGAGCCTGTAGGCAACAGAAGGAAGTCCCCGAAGTGGAGCTCATATGCTGGCAAGGGCACAGTAGTTCATCCTCAGTAATCAACCATGGGGAGTCCCACTTGCCTGGAAAAGGTTCAGGCTGCCTGGCTGTTCTCGAGACAGTTGATTCCAAGTGAGATCCTACACACAAAAGAGATGGTCCTCCTCCTTTCACCAGATACCTTAAAAAGAACAGAGTCCTGCCAGTGCCTCCTGTTGTGGCATTCCCTACTTACCCAGTAGCAGTCCTTTATTGAGCCAGAATTTACCTTAGCAACAATCCCAGTCCAGCCCATACCTACCTAGGGGATAAGATCTCCATCCTTGGAGTACCTATCCCACCAGCAGTCCTATTCCTGCCCACTGCTCACCCTCACACTGGATCCTTGCTACCCTAGAGGGGTCTAAAATGGCAGTTGTAGGTTCTCTAAGAATGCCCAGACATACATGTGGGACTGCTGTATCTATGCCTCTTCAAATATCAGAAGTTGCTAGTATGTTTCTTGACCTCAGGCAGCCATGACGATTCGTAGCTCCAAACTGGCCGACCTTAGGGAGGGCACAGAATCAGCCACACACTGATTCATATTCTTAATGATTTAGAAAACCTAGTGGAATAATGTCAAGATTTGTGAGGGTTGGTTCTTTGCTTCTATATTTTAAAAAAATAAATTAGGAGATTTGTGTAACTTTGAAACACGGAAAATGTTTATTGGAGTGTTCAACAACAAACCAGTGTCTGAAATTGTCCCATAACTTTTTGCCTGTTGCCAGTGGGTCAGACGGGTTTCCACAGTTCACTCAGGAATGGATTAGTCTCTGTAGTGTTCCATGGGCCCCGGTCTCATCTCTTGGGTCTCGCCTTCCAATAGGGGTATGACTTCATCATCTCTGGGATCGGTCCACGCAATGTCCCTGGCTGGTGTGAAGGTCCCCCAGGGTCGTCCCAGAACTCCCTCTTCTTCATTTCGCTCACCCTCCAATGCCAAACATTCTCTCTGTTCCCTTTGTGCCTTTTCCTTCTCCTCCCTCAGTCTCCTCTGCCACTCTCAAGCCTCCACCCCAATATGGTCTTGGGGGGTCTCTCCCTCCTTCTACGATAATCAGCCTCCTCCTTTGGAACGCGGAGTCTTTCCCAAACTCCCGTCCACGGATCTTGTAACCAGACCCATTCACAGCCTGGTGGTAACTGACTGTCCCTTCCTTTTATCTCTGCTGCCCCCACCAGTATATCTTCACCCTCTTTTTTCCTCTCTGTTCCCCCCAATTCTTCTGGGGTCAATTCCTCTATCTTTACCGAGTGCAGTTTTCTCTCCAAGTCCCAGGTATCAATGTCCTGCTGCTCTGCTTTCTGGGGAAGTGAAGTGGGCGAGGTTTGTATCTCTCTTTGAACTATTTGTGGAAGGGACGGCACTCCGGCGAGAAGTCCCTTACTCTTGCCCCCCGGTCTCACAAGGTTCTTTGGTCTTTTTGAATGGGAAGAAATATTATAAAATCAAAATTCTAGCTTGATTCCTCTGTTCTATGCAACATCATATAACTGCATATATGGAAATCAATCAGTATTTATGTCTTTTTAGGTGCCATTAGAGCTCATGATGGTAGTCTCCAGCACCTCACATGGCTTGGTCTTCAGTGGGACTCGCTACCAACTCTTCAAGTCATTCGCAAATGGTTAAAGCAGCTTTTTCATTTACCTCAAGAAACATCAAGGCTGGAGACCAATTCTCCTGAATCTATTTGCATGTTGGACCTTGAAGTAAGCAAATCCTTTAAGCACAGAGTTTATTGTAATGCAAGAAAGTACAGTAATGCTGTCTGCAACTGAATACATGTGTTTGCAAAACAGGTGTTTCTGCTTGGAGTGATATTCACCAGTCGTTTGCAGTTGCAAGAGAAGTTTAATATTCAGTACTCTGTACATCAGCCTCGATTCCTGCCACTGCATATATACAAACAACTTTGTACTGAAAGGCAAAAGGCCTGGTGGGATGCCGTTTATGCTTTGATTCACAAACGAGCTGTGTAAGTATGAATGGTATTGGTTTTTTTTAATGTAGTCTGAGTTGCCACAGACATGTAGTTTGCATCAGTCTCTGAAACCCTGTTGCTTACTGAAGTAAATTATGCTAGAGTAGGTCTACGGAATCAATGAGAATTTAGCAAGTCAACTCCCTATAAATTCCATTGATTCAAATGGGCCTGCTCTAGCTGACTTATTTAGCATAGTAATTTGTAGTTGGAGTAGGTGCATTCCTACTCTGAAGGGGAAAGTAGGAAGATCAAAGAATATTCAAGTAAAATGGGGCTCCTTGGAGATAAGACAAATTTTCTAAGACTTTGGAGAAATTCAATCAATGCAGTTTATGCCCCACCATGTGTACAAAAGAAAATCTAGCAAATGGCTAAGATAATGCTATTGAGGTAGCCTGCTTCTGGTCATAGTCTAATTTTCTGAACATTTTAATTTGTTTTAATTTTACCCATATTTCATGTATGACCATAATTTTAAATCGTAAGAAAGAAAGAAAATAAATCCCTTTGATCGTTTGGGCCTACTCAAGTGCAGTTTACTACACTATGCAGCATTTTGGCCAATAATTTCAGTGTTGCTACTTGAGTGATAAAGGAAGGTATTGATTTTTTAATGGGAAGTTTAACATAGGGTGTGAGATTGGTGGCTTTCATGTCTTTTTGCTATAAATTATGCAGTGTAGTGAGCCTTAAGTGCCTTTTAGAAATATTGTTTGTGATATCAAATTTGTATTTTAAAATGAAGTATCTTTTAACATATTCCATGTTATTGCTAATTAAAGAAGTGGGTTTTCTTTGTTTTTACTGCTTACATGTTTATGTATTAATATTACTTTCAGACCTGGGAAAGCAGCAAAACTGAGGCTTCTAATTCAGCATGAAATAAACATCCTCAGGGCATTAGGAAGACATGGTCTTCAACCAGCTTTGGTTATTCACTGGGCAAAAAGTCTTTTAAAAACAGTAAGTAGGCAGGTGCTATTTTCCATACAGTAGTTGTAATATTAATCAATTTTGTAATTACTCATGTAATTTAACACAGAGTTCCATGTGTTTAGATCTCATATAAAGTCAGAATATTACTGCTTTTTTAAAAGGTTCTAAGAATTGCTTGACTCCCTATCTGTCTCAGGCTGTGAGTTAAATATGTAGGAGACTTGATACAGTGTTTCTTAACAACTTGCCTGCCTTCAACACAGCTGCTATTCTCCATGTTGAGAAAAATGGGAAATAGTATTGTGGCTATAAATTATACAGGAAAAATATCATTGTGTTATTTCACAGGGTTGTAGCCTTAATTCTTTCTATGATCAAAGAGAATACATTGGACGAAGTGTTTACTATTGGAAGAAAGCTTTACCAATGCTGGAGACAATCAAGAAAAAGAGAAATATTTCTGAACCAATTGATCCCTTGTTCAAGCATTTTCATAGTGAAGATATTCAGGTAATAAAAGAAGATGCACAATTTTATATGGTAGTTTTGCTGTTTCTAAAATGCTTTTGAATCTTCTTTGTTTTCTTGTTTTAGTATGTAACTGCTTCCTCCTTCAAAGCAAAGAGGACTGAACTCAGTGGATTTACAGCTGAAGGAATAAAGTTCTTTCTTTTTAACACTGTTATTTTAATAAAACCTTATTTGTTAATTCAAACTGAGTGGTACTAAGTTCAGTACTTGAGACCTGGCTACATACATGGAGTATGCTATAGGAGTATCAATGAAGGTTTAAATATACTTACCTAGAAGGGCAGCTAAAGAGGAAGTAAGTGAAGATTATTAAAGAAAACATATTCCTGTGGTGATTTAAAGAGACTATTACCTCAGTAGTCAAGTGACAAGACAAAGGGAGGTTTGATGCTGGTGGCAGAGAGAAGGGATGCGACATAATTCTCCCAGCTTGTAAGTGAAATGCCTCAAACTGGCATGAAGTAGAGCAACCCTCTTATGCTTCCAAGCTATTTCTGTTTGATTGGTAAGAATAGCACCCTTTTTGTCTGCTATGCCCTGGAAGTCATTGGATTCCTTGGGACTCTGAAAGGTGTACAGGAGAAAGAGTCCTACCACTGAAAATCCTCAGAGTTCTTCCATGCACCTTTGTGAGTCCCAGGGAATCTCACAACTTCCATGGTGCAGTAGGTAAGGATCAAAAATCACTTTTCTTAGGGACTGAAGAAGATGACAGTGGGGAAATGGCATGGGAGTAGGAGGGCTTTTCTGCCTCCTGCTTGATCTGAGGCCTTTCACTCCCATAATTTGTCTCTGGCGTCCCATTGAATTACAAAAGTCATTTAATTTAATTCTGACAATCCCATCTGTAATTGATAGTACTGCACTTCCAAATTGTAGCAGTTTTGCTGAAGGTTGTATCAGTAGACTTTGGCAGTTTTAAGCATTCAGTATAAAGCTTTTGTGACATATTGCATGTTAGTTGGAATCCTGTTCATCAAGGCATAATGGAAAGTAACACTGTCATAAATATGGCGGCTGTTCCGCCCTGGCAACAATTCATTGTGCAGTTGGTCATGTGGTAGCTATTTGACTGATTGCTCAATGCTTCAGCGGAGGCCCTTCATGGATAGCATTTCTGCCTTGGCACAAGTGTAGCTAACATAGGCTTAATGTTCTTGTTTAGTCGTTAAGTCGTGTCTGACTCTTCGTGACCCCATGAACCAGAGCACACCAGGCCCTCCTGTCTTCCACTGCCTCCCGGAGTTTGGTCAAAACAGAAACAAAAGTCATAATGCTGATTTCAGCCAATATTCTAGTCACATATTTTTATTCTATCTTGATGCATTCAGTGTAATGCATTGCAGAGTTTCTACCTGGGACTATGTACCCTCTTTGCATTTAAGTAACTATCAAGAAAAGCTGAATTAATAGTGGTAGATGAAGATGTCTCATTGCTGTTGCTAACCATGAGATGGACAAAGATGTATTTAGGATTAGGGTGCTGAAGCATCCTTCCTGCATGGAAACCTTATTTAACACCAAGGTGATATTGGTATGAAATAAAGAGAGCCCCTCCCAGATGGGTACACCATGAAATGGGGCTGTGCTTAATAGTTCCAATGGCCATAGTTTCACTCAGACAGAATGGGCACAATGTATCCAAGTTGTGATGACTGCATAATTTTGCTTGATAAAGTGTATGATAGTAAGGCATATTCCAGCCCTTCCAAAGCTAAGTACCTTTACTTATATTTAATAAAGGATAACTCATGTATACTTTCAAATACATGTCCAAAACAAAATTATTCTGTGCTGAGCAATACTGATACATGAAATTAACAGAATAAACCCCCCTTTTTTTAAGCCTTCCCAGGTTGAAGAATATCAGGAGGAAGCACACATAGCATTTGCTATTTTGGATGCTGTTGATGGAAAAACAGATGATGCTATGCAAGCATTTGAAGCTATCAAAAATGTTGTTGCGTACTGGAATCTTGCTCTGGTAAATTTCATTTTCTATCGTATCTTCCTTACCTAACGCAACTCAATAAACAACGTGCACAGCTAATTCTTTCTCTCTTGGAAAGATTTTCCAGAGGAAATCGGAAGAGATGGAAAATGATGGCTTGTCAGTGGAAGAACAGGAAGAATGCAAGAACCATCTAAAGAAAAGCAGAGACTATCTTATAAAGATAATTGACGAAAGCTGCACAGACAGTTCAGTAATTGAAAAGGTTCATGATTTGACTTGTTTTTCTTGATTACTGTGAAATATATGTGTGAAGAAAGTACATTTGTCATAATGTAATGTATCAGAATTGTTCTTAAACACACTAGAAAATTAGAATTCATCTGATCTGAAGCAGGGGTGGGCAACTTCTGTGGGCTGCAGAGACCCGCAAGAATGAAACTGGAAATGGCAGGGAAATCCTGTTTCAGTTTTGAATCACAATTTTCTACAACAATTCAGGCCAATTTTACAGAAAGGCAGCAGTTAAGCCATTTAAACATCTCCAAAACACTAGTAAAGATCTTATTCCACCAAAAATATTTCTGCAGATTGAAAAATGAATATGTAAGACCACAATTCATATTTTCAAAATAATCCCATACGGCCATCACAGCAACTTACACATCCTCTTTCTCTTCTGCCCCCCAACCCAGAAACTTCTTGCAACTCACTGCTTCCCCAAGAGGTTGGTAAGCATGAGCAGAATTTTGAACAAATAGTTCAGTCTCCCATCCCACAGAGCTTATGAGCTGGTCTGCAGCTAGCCATCTTCACTGTTTAAGAGGAATTGTGGGTCTGTCCTGGACCCAGAGGCACTGTAGGAAAATAAGATCAGAATGGTGGTTCTCCTGCAAACTGAGTGTTCTGCTTTGTTACCACTGGAAGTCTATAAATATGTATATTAAACTCTTCAAAAAGGGTACATTCAAAAGGCATGGGAGGAGACAAAGCAGGCATTCATGGGCATTCTGACATCCATGCTCCCCACATTGCTTATTCTAGTTATAAAGCATCAGCTCTTCTAAACAGAGAGAATCTAGGATTACAAACTAGAATTGGTTCAGCAATACCTCTGTAGAAGCTATCTGGTTTATTAACAGGTATCCTCATGGTGTATAAATTGCTTCACATGTTTTGTCAGGACATGTTGCACATAGCCCCTCCTAACACTTTTCAAATGCATTTTCAAACCTAATAGTGTTTAAATCAAGGCAGAATGTTTTGTTCATCAATTTAACAACTGTATATCAACTGACAGTAAAATCAAACTGGCTTTTCTTTTTGTCCTAGTTACCTGTATCCATAGAGACAGTGAAAGAAATGCTGGAATGTGTAATGCAGGAACTTGGGGATAGTGGTGAAGAACGGGGTCTTGCTTTAAACAATGATTTGGGCCAACCAGCAGAAGCAGAAATGAAACATTCTACTCCATCACCCACAAAATTTTCGTTATCTCCAAGTAAAAGTTACAAGGTATATCAGTTAAAATTCATTTGAAAAATGATTTTTTTTTCTTTTAATTGGTCTAAATTCCTGACACTTTTCTCTTTCAGTTTTCCCCTAAAACTCCCCCTCGATGGGCAGAGGATCAAAAATCTCTCCTTCAGATGATCTGTCAGCAAGTAGAATCTATTAAGGTAAAAAAAGAGTGAACTATTAACTTCTGTTTTGGGACAGACACCATTTGCTTCATTTAAATAACAGGATATATCTTACCATTTTAGTAAATGGGAAAAATCATAAAACCGAGACTAATCACTGTATGACTGTTTCCATGTGATTAAATAAGATTACTGCTCCTTATTTTAAAGTAGGTATGTAATGAGAGTTTCCTAATCTGACCTGTACTATGAACAGCAGTATTAGTGACCAGAGTGCAAAGAGAAACATCCAAGGAATGTTTTATATAGTTTACATATATTGTCATACCCACGGTTTCAATTATCTGCGGCCTGAAGAAAAATAAATAACACCGAGAAACATTCCCAAGATATATTACCAGGACTGACCACTAGATGAAAACAGAGACTAGACTTCATACAGGTGGCCGCATGGAAATGTACATGTGGCCTGAGGAACCAGCTTCTGGCAAAATGAAGAAGCTGCATTTGCAGTGAGGCAGCAGTTGCTGGTTTCAAGGAGGGCAAGAAACCCAGTCCTTTCACAAGACTGGGCTAGGGCTGCCTCTGTCAACCATGCACATACACACTTACATACATCTGAGGTTGCAGAATTATATATATTCTAGCATACATTTAAAGGCAACTTGGAAGCTGCAACTGGTATAACATGCAGCAGCTTGGCTGCTAAATGGATGTTTCCTTCCATGACCATATAATACCTTTTTTTGTATCATTTACGTTGGCTCTTACCCTAAAGTCCTAGGTGACTTGGGACTCGCATACCTATTGGACTGCCTCTAGGCATATGATTGCTTTGTTTGTTACATATGTAATGGTTGTTGTACTGTGGTGTGTGCTGTTTGGTGTCTCCAGACAAAAGAATCAACAATAAATAATTTCTATGTTCATTCCTACTTATAATGAATTTATTCCCCAGTTTGAACAGTTTTGCAGCAAGGAATTAAAGTATTTTCAAAGAAGTTTCAAAGATGTATTAATAGAATAAATGATATTTGTGTGCCTGTGAACTTGTTACAAATCTGTTGAAAAGAGGGAAAACGACAACGCGTTGATGTAAAAAGCCAATAACATTGCTGTCTTTTTGCTAGAATGAGATGCAAGAAATGAAACTTAATAATTCTAACACAAATATGACTCAACGGTGGCCTGCTGAAAGCTATGCAACAGAGACCATGTCAGATGGCTATCAAGGATCACAGAATTTTCATGGAGCACCATTAACTGGTAATCACATGGTGAAATGTTGAGATCTAGACAGAAGACTTTAATGTGATACAAACTGTGGTATCAGTTGATTATCACTGAGGAATGTAAAAAAAGTAGTAAGCCGGCTGAAGACGTTTTAAAGAAAATATCTTGAATAAAACTATTTTATTATTATTTACTGGCTTCATAATCTAAGACCTGATTTAAAATTTGCCACAGTTGAATGTGAAAGATGCATTTTGTCCTTATACTGCAACAAAATAGGATGTCATACCCAAGGTGCAAGAAAAGTGCTTAGTATTGAGATTTGCGGTTCCTACAAACTTAATTGTTCCTACTATTATCTCTCATACATTCAGTTGCTACAACAGGCCCATCTGTCTACTACAGTGCATCACCAGCATATAATTCCCAGTATCTTCTAAGGACAGCAGCCACAAATGTGACCCCCACAAAGGTAATTACAAATGCCATTTCATATAACTAATTTAACAGTTAGCAAAATGGGGTGCTTAGTTTTTCAGTGAAACCTTTTTCAGTGAAATAACATTGAGGCATCCCCTTTCTTGTCATAGTGAGGTTGGGGAGGTGTTCAGGACCCAATAGTAGATCTTAAGAATACACTTACCAGACATTAAAATGTATGTTTAAAATAGCTTTCTATGATAGTCACCAATGAGACTATAAAACAGTAATTCCCAACCTGAAGTGCATGTACCCCATGGGGTGTGAACCAGGACATTTAGAGGTACAGTGGTGTCTCGCAAGATGAATTTAATTCATTCCGCAATTAATGTCTTGCGAAAAAAATTGTCTTATGAAACGTGTTTTCCCATAGGAATGCATTGAAATCTAATTAATGTGTTCCTATGGGCAAAAAAAGTCAGAACAAAGTCAAATTTGGTTTACAAATGGTTTATTAAGTGCTCTTTAAAGCCATACATATTGTGCATATGATTTCAAAAGTTTCAATCAAAAAACTTTAACTTTTTAAGCATCATAGAAAAAATTTAAAAATCAGCAAACATGAGGTAGAAACAAAAAATGGAAAACATTCGTCTTGCGAAGCACGGCCATAGGAACATTCGTCTTGCAAATCATCAACCCCCATTGCCAAAACGATTCATCTTGCAAGTTTTTCAGCCCGCGAGGCATTCGTCTTGCGAGGCACCACTGTACTTTTTTAATGTTGGGAAAAGGCACTTACATCAGCAGTGCGAATCACTTATTTATATCCTGAGCAGTGAGAAACCCCTCAGCTTCTTCCTTCTCTCCCCACCCACTGCATGAGAACCCAGTCAATTGGCTTTCGCTCCAAGGCAGCATTTGTTCTTGTTCCGCCATTAATCCAGGGACTTGTGCCACCTGCTCCTTTCCTATCAACAGCAGTTTGTATGGGACAGCATTCCTTATGGGTTTTAACCCCTTTGCTGTTATCCTCGGGCATGCTACCAGAGCTGATGAGGAGGCGGCCTGAAGATGAGTCTCCCTAGTTCTGTCCCCTAATATGAAAGGAATGATTTATAGAGATGGGTTGTCATAGGGTACACAATAGAAAAAAGGTTGGGAACCACAGCTGTAAGGTGTAATATTCATTAAGGCTAGCACTGAACATTGTTCCTATTTTTAGGCTCCTGTCTATGCCATGAACAGGCTTACTCCTCAGCAACAGCTATATACCTACCAACAGCCAATGCATACACCTCCACTGAACACTTCTGCTTGTATGTTTTCACAAGAAATATATGGAACTCCGCTGCGTTTTGATTCTCCTGCAACTGGAATTTTGTCTCCTCGGGGTAATGAAGACTACTACAACACTACAACTAAATTGTCCAACAAACAAGCACAAACCCACCACTACCTGAACCAGGGTATTTCACAAAACCTCCAGCAGCACCTCCATCCACCAGATCTACAGAATCAAAGGTGATTGAATTTGGGAAGCCCAGCTTTGGCCAATCTACACCAGCAGAGGGACCAAAATCTTCCCTTATAACTTCCGCTCACTCTACTCAGTCAACTCCTTTCAAGTTTAATTCTAATTTCAAATCTAATGATGGTGATTTTACTTTTTCATCACCCCAGGTTGTACCACAGCCCCAGAGTACAACCTATAGTAACAGTGAGAGTCTTTTGGGCCTCCTTACCTCAGACAAACCTGGAAAAGAAAATACATACATAGGACAGAAGCCACTTGCTGATTATAACACAGGGCAGCGTACCATCTTCAGTTTTGGTGGCAAGAATACTTCAGGCATTTCATTTACAGATAAAATGGGGCAGAATCAAACCAAGCCATCGGGGTATAGTAAAGGAGATGTGTTCAGCTTTCAGGAATCTGGGAAGCCCATATTTGGAACACCAAATTCAGATGTAGCAAATCGAAGTCATGAAACAGAGGGGGGAAGTGTTCATGGTGGGGATGAGGAGGAAGATGGTCCTCATTTTGAACCTGTTGTGCCATTACCTGACAAAATTGAAGTAAAAACTGGTGAAGAAGATGAAGAGGAGATCTTCTGCAACAGAGCAAAACTCTTTCGTTTTGATGGTGAATCCAAAGAGTGGAAAGAGAGAGGAGTTGGCAATGTGAAAATTCTGAGGCATAAAATAACTGGTAAAATTCGTCTTCTAATGAGGCGTGAGCAAGTGCTAAAAATTTGTGCAAATCACTATATAAATCCTGAAATGAATTTGAAACCCAATGCCGGATCAGACAAATCATTTGTGTGGAAATGAAGAAGCTGCATTTGCAGTGAGGCAGCAGTTGCTGGTTTCAAGGAGGGCAAGAAACCCAGTCCTTTCGCAAGACTGGGCTAGGGCTGCCTCTGTCAACCATGCACATACACACTTACATACATCTGAGGTTGCAGAATTATAGATATTCTAACATACATTTAAAGGCAACTTGGAAGCTGCAACTGGTATAACATGCAGCAGCTTGGCTGCTAAATGGATGTTTCCTTCCATGACCATATAATACCTTTTTTTGTATCATTTACGTTGGCTCTTACCCTAAAGTCCTAGGTGACTTGGGACTCGCATACCTATTGGACTGCCTCTAGGCATATGATTGCTTTGTTTGTTACATATGTAATGGTTGTTGTACTGTGGTGTGTGCTGTTTGGTGTCTCCAGACAAAAGACTCAACAATAAATAATTTCTATGTTCATTCCTACTTATAATGAATTTATTCCCCAGTTTGAACAGTTTTGCAGCAAGGAATTAAAGTATTTTCAAAGAAGTTTCAAAGATGTATTAATAGAATAAATGATATTTGTGTGCCTGTGAACTTGTTACAAATCTGTTGAAAAGAGGGAAAACGACAACGCGTTGATGTAAAAAGCCAATAACATTGCTGTCTTTTTGCTAGAATGAGATGCAAGAAATGAAACTTAATAATTCTAACACAAATATGACTCAACGGTGGCCTGCTGAAAGCTATGCAACAGAGACCATGTCAGATGGCTATCAAGGATCACAGAATTTTCATGGAGCACCATTAACTGGTAATCACATGGTGAAATGTTGAGATCTAGACAGAAGACTTTAATGTGATACAAACTGTGGTATCAGTTGATTATCACTGAGGAATGTAAAAAAAGTAGTAAGCCGGCTGAAGACGTTTTAAAGAAAATATCTTGAATAAAACTATTTTATTATTATTTACTGGCTTCATAATCTAAGACCTGATTTAAAATTTGCCACAGTTGAATGTGAAAGATGCATTTTGTCCTTATACTGCAACAAAATAGGATGTCATACCCAAGGTGCAAGAAAAGTGCTTAGTATTGAGATTTGCGGTTCCTACAAACTTAATTGTTCCTACTATTATCTCTCATACATTCAGTTGCTACAACAGGCCCATCTGTCTACTACAGTGCATCACCAGCATATAATTCCCAGTATCTTCTAAGGACAGCAGCCACAAATGTGACCCCCACAAAGGTAATTACAAATGCCATTTCATATAACTAATTTAACAGTTAGCAAAATGGGGTGCTTAGTTTTTCAGTGAAACCTTTTTCAGTGAAATAACATTGAGGCATCCCCTTTCTTGTCATAGTGAGGTTGGGGAGGTGTTCAGGACCCAATAGTAGATCTTAAGAATACACTTACCAGACATTAAAATGTATGTTTAAAATAGCTTTCTATGATAGTCACCAATGAGACTATAAAACAGTAATTCCCAACCTGAAGTGCATGTACCCCATGGGGTGTGAACCAGGACATTTAGAGGTACAGTGATGTCTCGCAAGATGAATTTAATTCATTCCGCAATTAATGTCTTGCGAAAAAAATTGTCTTATGAAACGTGTTTTCCCATAGGAATGCATTGAAATCTAATTAATGTGTTCCTATGGGCAAAAAAAGTCAGAACAAAGTCAAATTTGGTTTACAAATGGTTTATTAAGTGCTCTTTAAAGCCATACATATTGTGCATATGATTTCAAAAGTTTCAATCAAAAAACTTTAACTTTTTAAGCATCATAGAAAAAATTTAAAAATCAGCAAACATGAGGTAGAAACAAAAAATGGAAAACATTCGTCTTGCGAAGCACGGCCATAGGAACATTCGTCTTGCAAATCATCAACCCCATTGCCAAAACGATTCATCTTGCAAGTTTTTCAGCCCGCGAGGCATTCGTCTTGCGAGGCACCACTGTACTTTTTTAAAAAATGAATAATGTTGGGAAAAGGCACTTACATCAGCAGTGCGAATCACTTATTTATATCCTGAGCAGTGAGAAACCCCTCAGCTTCTTCCTTCTCTCCCCACCCACTGCATGAGAACCCAGTCAATTGGCTTTCGCTCCAAGGCAGCATTTGTTCTTGTTCCGCCATTAATCCAGGGACTTGTGCCACCTGCTCCTTTCCTATCAACAGCAGTTTGTATGGGACAGCATTCCTTATGGGTTTTAACCCCTTTGCTGTTATCCTCGGGCATGCTACCAGAGCTGATGAGGAGGCGGCCTGAAGATAGTTCTCCCTAGTTCTGTCCCCTAATATGAAAGGAATGATTTATAGAGATGGGTTGTCATAGGGTACACAATAGAAAAAAGGTTGGGAACCACAGCTGTAAGGTGTAATATTCATTAAGGCTAGCACTGAACATTGTTCCTATTTTTAGGCTCCTGTCTATGCCATGAACAGGCTTACTCCTCAGCAACAGCTATATACCTACCAACAGCCAATGCATACACCTCCACTGAACACTTCTGCTTGTATGTTTTCACAAGAAATATATGGAACTCCGCTGCGTTTTGATTCTCCTGCAACTGGAATTTTGTCTCCTCGGGGTAATGAAGACTACTACAACTACAGTGTGCCACCAACAAGCACAAACCCACCACTACCTGAACCAGGGTATTTCACAAAACCTCCAGCAGCACCTCCAACTACCAGATCTGCAGAATCAAAGGTGATTGAATTTGGGAAGCCCAGCTTTGGCCAATCTACACCAGCAGAGGGACCAAAATCTTCCCTTATAACTTCCGCTCACTCTACTCAGTCAACTCCTTTCAAGTTTAATTCTAATTTCAAATCTAATGATGGTGATTTTACTTTTTCATCACCCCAGGTTGTACCACAGCCCCAGAGTACAACCTATAGTAACAGTGAGAGTCTTTTGGGCCTCCTTACCTCAGACAAACCTGGAAAAGAAAATACATACATAGGACAGAAGCCACTTGCTGATTATAACACAGGGCAGCGTACCATCTTCAGTTTTGGTGGCAAGAATACTTCAGGCATTTCATTTACAGATAAAATGGGGCAGAATCAAACCAAGCCATCGGGGTATAGTAAAGGAGATGTGTTCAGCTTTCAGGAATCTGGGAAGCCCATATTTGGAACACCAAATTCAGATGTAGCAAATCGAAGTCATGAAACAGAGGGGGGAAGTGTTCATGGTGGGGATGAGGAGGAAGATGGTCCTCATTTTGAACCTGTTGTGCCATTACCTGACAAAATTGAAGTAAAAACTGGTGAAGAAGATGAAGAGGAGATCTTCTGCAACAGAGCAAAACTCTTTCGTTTTGATGGTGAATCCAAAGAGTGGAAAGAGAGAGGAGTTGGCAATGTGAAAATTCTGAGGCATAAAATAACTGGTAAAATTCGTCTTCTAATGAGGCGTGAGCAAGTGCTAAAAATTTGTGCAAATCACTATATAAATCCTGAAATGAATTTGAAACCCAATGCCGGATCAGACAAATCATTTGTGTGGCATGCCTTGGATTATGCAGATGAACTGCCAAAACCTGAGCAACTTGCCGTCCGATTTAAAACACCAGAGGAAGCAATGCTTTTCAAATGCAAATTTGAGGAGGCACAAAACAGTTTGAAAGGCTCTGGATCTGAGGTTAGTCAACAGGCTGCTCAGAATATTGCGTCCTCAAGAGAAAATGCTACTGAGGATGCAAAGGACTCTGATAAATATGATCCTGCAGTCTTGAATTCAGAATGCCATTTCAAGAGTGGAACATCTGCTCCCAGTAGCTTTCGGGGTGCAGGTCCTGATATCAGCAATACAGCAAAAATCACTAATGTTAAAAATACCTTTACAGTTACATTGAGTGAGGCCTCTACACCTGCATCCTTCTCTTTTGGTAAAGAAGTATCAGGGGCACATGCTACTCATGGATTTGGTGAACAGTTCGTATTGAAGAAAGATCAGTGGGAGTGTAGCACATGCCTCGTGAGGAATAAAATGACTGCACAGAACTGTATAGCATGCCAGACTCCAAATCCGTCTCAGAGGGAAGCACAAACGACACTTCTCCCAGCAGAACCAAGGCTTTTCAAACCAAGTGCTGAAGGTACACAGAGTACATTTGGACAAGTTTCTACCAAAAAAGAAAACCAGTGGGAATGTAGAGTCTGTTCTGTGAGAAATGAAGGCAATTCATCTCACTGTATTGGCTGTAAGAACCCCAATGTAACCAGCACATCAGTTTCTACTCCTCAGACTACATTCAAATTTGGCCATATGGACACTTCAAAGATCCCCCAGAGTGGGTTTGGAACAGCTTTTATGAAAAAGGAAGGCCAGTGGGACTGCAGTGTGTGCTTAATACGCAACGAAGGCTCTTCTCCGACTTGTGCAGCTTGTCAAACTCCAAATCCATCTGGTGATGTTCCAGCTCTACCTGGCAGTTCTCAGCATCCCATGTTTGGTTTCAAAAGCAAGTTGTCTGAACCCACTGGAGGACCACAAGGGACAGGCTTTAAGTGTGAAATATCTGAGAAGGGTTTTAAATTTGGTCATCATCCAGAGCAAGGAAAGTCTCCTTTCACATTTCAGATTCCTACTACTACTGAAACTAAGCCTACTAAGGGCGGGTTTAATTTTTCAATGCCTGTGCCTGAGGGAGGATTTAAATTTGGTATACAAGAGCCTAATAAAGATGTTACCACTGAGCAGCATAATGGCCTTGAGGAAAAAGAGGGGGTGCGTCAGGAAGATTCTGTAATCAAGTCACAGGATAACACCAGCAAACAGGGCACGGACTTGGTTTTTGGTCAGCATAGTAGCACTTTCACGTTTGCTGACCTCGCAAAAACTGGCGAAGGGTTTCAGTTTGGTCAAAAAGATCCAAATTTCAAGGGTTTTACTGGGGCTGGAGAAAAGCTCTTTTCCTCTCAAACTGCCAAAATGTCTTCCAAAGCAAATAATTCTGCTGATCTTGAGAAGGATGATGACGCATATAAAACAGAAGAAAATGATGATATCCATTTTGAACCTGTTGTCCAGATGCCTGAAAAGGTGGAACTCGTAACAGGTGAAGAAGATGAGATGGTGCTGTATTCACAGAGAGTAAAACTGTTTAGGTTTGATGCAGAAACTAGCCAGTGGAAAGAACGCGGTGTAGGCAACTTGAAAATCCTGAAGAACGAAGTGAATGGCAAGCTCCGAATGCTCATGCGACGTGAGCAGGTACTGAAGGTTTGTGCAAACCACTGGATCACAACTACCATGAACTTGAAGCCTCTTTCTGGCTCAGACAAGGCGTGGATGTGGTTGGCCAGTGACTTCTCAGATGGTGATGCAAAGCTGGAGCAATTGGCAGCTAAATTCAAAACCCCAGAGCAGGCTGAGGAATTTAAACTGAAATTTGAAGAATGCCAAAGGCTGTTGCTGGATATACCGCTCCAGACTCCACACAAACTTGTGGATACAGGGAAAACAGCTGAGCTCATACAGAAAGCTGAAGAAATGAAAAGTGGGTTGAAAGATCTCAAAACCTTCCTGACAGATGATAAAACCAAATTGGCAGACGAAGAGTGTAAAGGCGCTGCATCTGTCACAAACTCTTCTGATCTAGTTATAAAACCACATGCAGAAAGTACTGGGCCTACACTGGAATGGGACAATTATGACTTGCGAGGAGAAGCATTGGATGATACCGCAGATAATTCTATATATGCACTGCCTCGGGCAAGTAGCCCTGTAAGGAAAAATTTATTTAGGTTTGGAGAATCTACTACAGGCTTTAACTTTAGTTTTAAATCAGCCCTAAGTCCTTCAAAGTCTCCTTCCAAACAGAATCAAAGTAGGGCTTCTTTAGGCACAGATGAGGAGTCTGATGTTACCCAAGAAGATGAAAGAGATGGTCAGTACTTCGAGCCAGTGGTTCCTTTACCTGATCTTGTAGAAGTAACAAGTGGTGAAGAGAATGAGCAAGTTGTCTTCAGTCACCGGGCTAAACTGTATAGATTTGATAAAGATGCCAATCAGTGGAAAGAGCGGGGTATTGGAGACATTAAGATCTTGCAGAACTATGACACTAAAACAGTTCGTATAGTCATGAGAAGGGACCAGGTATTAAAGCTTTGTGCCAATCATAGGATAACCCCAGATATGAACATCCAGCAAATGAAAGGCACCGAACGAGCGTGGGTATGGACAGCATGCGACTTCGCCGAAGGGGAAAGAAAAATGGAGCTCTTGGCGGTACGATTTAAACTGCAGGATGTTGCTGACTCTTTCAAGCAAATTTTTGAGGAAGCGAAACATGCTCAAGAAAAAGACACATTAATCACACCACTGTCTTCACGTGCTAACACCCCGAAAGAGTCTCCATGTGGGAAGATTGCTGTGGCAGTATTGGAAGAAACAACGAGGGAGAGAACAGATCTAAAGCAGGATGAAAAAACAGTGGTACAAACTGTAGAGCCTTCAGCTGTGGTGGGTACTTCTGAGATGCCAGTGAAAGCAGTCGTTTCACCGCCTAAATTTGTCTTTGGTTCAGAATCTGTCAAAAGTATTTTTAACAATGGGAAATCAAAGCCTTTCACATTTGGAAATACTTCAGCAACAGGATCTTTGTTTGGCTTTAGTTTTAATGCTCCTCCCAAGAGCAAAAGTGATAGCTCAGTGTGTCAGACAGTGAAACAGAAACAGCCGGAACAGACACATGAGACTATGACTTGTAAAGCTACTGAACATCAAGAAAGTGCAGCGGCTGCTGGTGCTACTGCTTGGAAAGCCTCAGACAGCAAAGGAGCGATGCAAGTGGCTACTTCAAAAGGACTTCCTAACTTTTCATTTAAAATACTAGAAAAAGGTGAGAATTTAAATTTTAACTTGGTTTTAAGCTGAATTAATGTATTGTACATGTATATATTTCCCCTTTGAATATCTTTTGCAGTTTAGAGTATTTAGTGATATACAAATTGCTAAATCTGTGTACAGTGGTGCCTCGCTTAGCGATGTTAATTGGTTCAAAAAGAAACATCGCTATGGGAAAACATCGCTAAGCGAAACACCATTTCCCATAGGAATGCATTGAAAACCGGATAATCCGTTCCAATAGGAACGGATTACCGTCCTTAAGCGAAAATCGCCATAGGAAACATCGCTAAGCGAAACGCGGTTCCCCCATTGGAATGCATTGAATAGGTTTCAATGCATTTCATTGGTTTTGACAGGTTCGTTTTCACTATTTTTAAAGTGTCTTAAAATCTTCAAAATCTGTTTAAAATGCTTGGAATCGTTAGTGCACCCTGTAAAACCTTTGCAAACTTAATTTGGCTTTGTTCTGAATCTTCATTAATTTTCGGTGAATTTTTTCTCCCCCCCCATTGAAATGCATTGAACTGTTATGTTCCAGCAACTTGCTTTTAAGGTCTTATGAGTACCCCAAACCAAACTTTTAAAATGTCAGGACATAGCTTCAGATGCCAAACACTGACATCTGAGTTCTCTCTCCCTTTCTCTCTCCCTCTCTTTTCCATTTTCTCCCAGATGCGCTTCACTAGTTTAATTTTGGAAGTATGAATTCAGTTGAATAGAAATTATGGGCTAGGAATGTTAGTTAAATACTGAAATCCATACACTATTTTTCTAGGATTTGGTTTTAGCCTTTTTAAATCTAACCCAATGGCGTTTTGGACCAGTGCATCTCCCTCTCAGCCTGGCAGTAAAGGTATTTGCACCCTGCACTGAATGTGGTGGTGTATATTTTTTGGATGTTCCCAAAACTAAGCAAAATAACTGGCTATCTTAACAATATGAAAGTGTAGAAAAATTAACATGCATGTCAATGAAGAATGGTTATAACAGAGTTTAATTTACAATTGTGGTAGCAGGCGAGTACTTGGATCTTACAGTCTGTTGGAGTGGTCAGTTTCTGTGTTTTCTGAGTGCTCAGGTGTGATTGGGTTTCAGGCTTTGCTTGATTTGGCCATTCTAAAGTTGGTTGTTCTGCTTCATAATAGACAGTAGAGATTTGAAAGTCTTGTTGCAATTGTTAAATGTTTCCGTGTGTTACTGTGGGACAATCTTGATGAACGAGGTGTCCTTTTATTGATTTACAGTGTTTTTTTCAGAACTGTTTGGAGGATTTTACTAATTTATGAAGTAGTAGTCACCTTCCCATTTTTGGTTAGGAGGCTCTTCATAATCAGTGCTCCTGCTTGAGATCTGTTTATTTTTTAACAATTGCAGTGTCTAGAAAAGGGCCAGAAGCAAAAGGGTTCCTTTTGTTTTGTTCCAGAAAAGCTTCCCACTGTCCAAAGACAATGGTTCCTTGCAAGTACAACCTCCCAGTCATTTCGAACAGATTTTTTTTGGGGGGGGGGGGGACACAGGGAAGTTTCAGAGGAAATTCACAAACATTGACTTCCAGCAGTGGCAGCTTTCCACAAGTAGGTTCAGTTTTATAGAGTTACTGAACCACTCCAAGAAGTCTAAATATTAAATCTGCATGAGTAACACAAAATAAAAGTGGTGTTGATAAAGTACTTTGTAGCCACAAGAACTATTTTAAAAAGGAGCCTACTGATTGAAAATGTTTAACTGTTACCTTGTCAGGGCTGTGTTCACACTGGAATAGTTGTGCTTCCATTAGAAAATTTGACCTCGTAGATTCATAAACTGGGAGTGTGCAATATTTGACAGTCCTGAGCTCCCTTTTGCCTTCTTCTGACCTTGGTAGTCAACACCCTGGACCCCCTGGAAGAAAGAAGTTTGTTTTGTCCAAAAGAGAGAGAGGAAGAGACAATTTACAGTTTAAATGTTGGAACCTGTTTAAGGCCCCAAAAAGCATTTCACCCCCTGCTTGCTATAAACTTGATACATCTTTTTCTGTTTGAGAATTTTTGACATGCAGTCGAGTTTCAGCTTCCCCACCCCCAGCAAATACTATCAAGGTGGGGGAAACAATAAAATTAGTACTGCTTTTTTATGTTCCCTTTCACCCTGTTTTCCTGGTCATCAGATTGTTTCCCATGGTTGTGCAAAATTGATGCCATGGATATAGCTATTTTGTAGAACCTTATCAGTGGGAGGCATACGTGCAAACCAGTCCTAGATATTCTGTGCATCTTTCCCATTCTGTCTGTGTACAGCCTTCACTGTACTTTCCCCCTGAAGACTGTATGTAGTCTTCATTAAGCAAATAAACTTACAAAAACAGTACAAATTCCTAGGAACACCATCCCAAGTAAATAAAGAAAATCTTACCTAATCAAAGAGGTTTAGACTAACTGCCTCTATACCGAATTGATTATAAATAAAAATGGTTGTCCTGAAACAAAAGGCATACTTCATTTTTAAATGATTCATGCATTATGTTCCAGCAGGTAGCAGCTTAGAAGAGCATTCCCCATTCTTGTGTTTCAAATTACGGAATGCCTTTTCTAAGTTTGATACCTACCACCTAGGGTTTATTAAGTACTAAACTAAAAAAAAAAACATATTAAAATTCTGTCCCAGCTATTTGTAGGGAACCATATTTATGGGTGAAGTTATTTTTGTTGATTTAATCAATGAATTGACTAAATCAACTGTGTCACTTCTTTTGATGGACATTTTTCTTAGTATACAGAAAAACAGGTTTTCATAGTCTAGTGTTTTTCAAATATTTGCTGGCTACTCACTACTTACTGGTCTTTATTTTATCTAAACTGAGCTTAACCTGTCAAGTTCTGGTTTTAATAAAGCATGCATTTTATAGAAGAAATACTTGAATCCAGAACACTTAATTTAATATGGATCTGGGATTTAGCTTCTGTTTGAGAAGGTGCCTGTTGATACAGTAAGTATATAAAGCAGGACCCTGATATCCACAGGGGATTGGTCCCAAACCGTCCCTGGTGGATGCAAAAAATTTGCACTTATACACTTTAGCAAATGCATGGTTTCTGGTTCCCTCTGGTGGCCAGTTCTGGTTAATACACCATGGTTGTTTCATTCACTGTATATTTTCAAACAATGGATAAGTGAATTTGTGGATATTGTTCCCATGGATAGGGAGATCCTACTGTATTTTAAATGCTCAGCAGTCAGAATCATGTTGATGTTGTACAGCACGAGCCAGAATCACACAAGAGATGTGTTCAGCCTTGCTGACTGTTGCCTGCCCAAGAGATTCCATTGCGCACGTTTGCACACTTAGATATGTGACAGATGAGTAGTGAAATAAAAAAAACAGTTACCATTATGCTTGTGGGATTTCACAATAGAATTTTAGACAGCATGTTACAACGATCATGACTGTCTGCTGGTACCTTAAAATGTGTTGATGTCACCTGTGGCTTGAGAAGATAGCTATTTGAACTGTACTGTAATGAAATAATTTGCCTTTTCTTTCAACTTCACTGAAATTTTTATTTATTATTTAAAACATCTTTACCCTGCCTTTCTCCTTTAAAAAAAGACCCAAGGCAGCTAACATCATTAAAAAAGCTAAAAACAGTAAGTTATTCAAGTATTTTAAAAGTATTAAATAAACTTTATATTAAAATGTTAGCTAAAAGCATTAGTAAAACAATATTACTAAAATTTTAGTTTTAGTCAAAACTAACCAGTGTTTAATGCTGAAGGTTTTAGACAGACACTTTAAAAGCAAATTAAAATGAAAGCCACTTTAAAAGTAAATTATTATTAATTCGTATCATCATGTTTAAAGAAATGTGTTTGTGAGGGTTATCTGTAAATGGTCTGAAGTTCTTATTAGATCATTGTTTGGTGAAGGTCTGGTTTAAAACACATGTGGGGGGGGGGGAGGAAACGGAAAACCAGAAGCTGTGTTAAGGACTAGAGCTGCTATGCTTATTATTATGTACCGCTAGCTCAAAGTTGGCTGTAGAAGAAAATTATATACCAGAATGGATCTAGCCTTTCTTTCCAGTGGAAAGTGCAGCCACCTGGTGTGAGACAGTTCCCTTGAACAGCAGTCAGGAGAGACTCCAGCTTTCTTTGCAGCACTTTCAGAGATTTGGCAGGACTATGTGGGGAATGTGGGGTGGATGGAGAAATTGGGTTCTGACAACCTAACTGCACACTCCTCAGTCTGGATCCAGCTTGGCTCTGCTCTTGACAGATGTGCTGTGTCTGGAAGGAGCAGCTTAAAAAGAAGCATGGCTTGAGCTTGGTCCACGTCCTTTGTTGCTCAAACTGAGGTTATCTTGTACTGACTTAACTTTCCATTTGATTGTTTAAATCTTGATGTTTCGTTGTCTTCTGGTTGAATGTTCTTTGCTTACTCTGTAAATGTATTTGTATTAAAAGGCAGTTGCTGACTTCAGACTTACTGGGGGGACCCTCTTTTCTTTCCAGTGATTGAGACTAAGAAAGAACCAGATACGGAGACATCAGATGATGTATTGGTTGTATATGAGTTAACACCCACTCCTGAACAAAGGGCTCTTGCAGAATCCCTTAGACTACCTCCAACATTTTTCTGCTACAAGAACAAGCCTGGATATTTCAGTGAAGATGATGATGGTGAGAAACATTTCTTGAAAACTATATCTTTTTTTTAAAGGCAAAATCCTAAATTAGGGTTGGCAGTGATGAAACAAGTGGAACAGAAACTAGAATAACGGCAGATTCAAGTAAATATGGTTAGAGGTTTAAAGCTCTCTGGTAGCAGCAAAAAATTCTCCTGTTCAGCCATTAGTGTGTTTCAACAGTGATCCAGCATAATGGGCCCTTAAGTAGTCAAGGACTTCTTATGTTGTTGCCCAGAAGAAGAGAATGTGAGCCATCTGTCAGCCCACTGTGAAGAATGTGGTGAACATAGTACAAAATCATTTGGATCTCTTCTGACTTGGAGGGTGTAGTTAACACAGGTTTTGTGGATGGTCTCTTTTCTGTGTTAATGGATGAGTTTCAGTTTTTGCATCCTGGGGATGTGGACAGGATGCTTGGAAAAGTGAAAGCTACCCCCTGCATGCTGGATCCTTTCCCTTCCTGGCTCATAAAAGGAGCAAGGAGCTCGGCTGCCCAGCTTGGTAAAGGGAGTGGTGAATTCCTCCTTAGAAACAAAGCAGAGTTCCAGATGAGAAGATTTTAAGGGGGAATCGTCAGTCTTTTCAGATGTGAGTTTAAACTGTTTGAAAGGTATTTTATTTAATACTAGTAACAATATGTTCAGTTGTTTTAAAGTTTTATGGTTGTTTCAGTTGTTTTTAGTACTGTAATGTATTGTATTTTTAATGTTTTAATACTTTTGTTTTAAAATTCTTTGTAAGCTACATGAGTCCCTCTGCCATGAGAAAGGTGGGATATAAATTAAATTTAACATAAATACATTTTATACCCCCAAAAATAAATGTTTTGGTGCTGAAGAGCCTACATCCGGCTGAGCATGAGAGCTAAGAGAGAAATAGGAAAATTCAGATGTCTTCCTGGCTAAATGTTTTACAAGCTGGAGACTGCAAACTTGAAGAATTACTTGGGGAGTTTTACTTTCAGGAGTGTAAAAACTGCTTTTCTCTAGCTACCTTCAGATCACATCAAGAACCTGCGCCTTCGGTAACAAGATTCTCGGACTGTACACTTTGTTTGCCCACTAAATTGAATCCAGATTTTATTGACCCCCCCCAGCTCCCAGCAAATGGTTAACTGGTCAGAATACAAAGAGTATTACTCTGTCTGTGGAATCCCCTACTCAGGAAGATTTGTTTGACATCCATTTACTTGATAGTTCAGTGGTTTAGATATCCAGCTGCTGAGCCAGACGTTGGGAGTTTGATTCTCCATTGTGCCTCCTGTGAGAAAAGCCAGCCTGTGTGGGCTTGGGCAAGCCCCAAGATGCCCCCAGAAGAAGGGAATGGTAAACCACTTCTGAGTATTCTGTGCCTGGAAAACCCTGAGAAGGGTTGCCATAAGTCAGTATTGGCTTGATAGCGCTTTTTATTTTATTATTATCATTATTATTATCATCATCATCATCATCATCATCACTATACTGGGACCTGAAGAAGTGCTTTTTTTACTCTCCCAAGCGTTTTAAATGGAGTGGTTTTTATATTTTACTAAGGGTCATATTTTTAAGGCTGTTTCTTTCTTCAAATGTAGCAGGAGATGCAGACCCAAATCCTTACAGTAGTCAGCCACATGTTTTATACTGCATTTCAGCTTTGACTTCAATTTTCATGTTCATATTTCAGACGAGGACTATGAAACTGCTGTGAAGCGGCTGAATGGAAAACTGTATCCTGATGAACCTGAGACACATACTCAACAGAAAGTTGAAACAAGTAAATAAAATCACTGCAAAAGAGTTTTGTAACATAGCCATGTTATTTTCTTTTTCCCATATCTAATTCCTAGGAGGTAAGGCCTATGGGACTTCTGAAGATACATGTATGGGACTTTGCTAATTTGTAAAACAATGCACTACTGCATTTTTCTGTATATAAAATGACACTTTTTAATTAAATAACTTGAGAAAAAATGAGGGTCGTTTTATACACGAAAGGCAGCTCTTTCCCACTGCCTTTTGCGAAGGCATGGGGCTTTAGCAAAAAGGAAGGGGAGCTGTTGCTAGTACGCCTTCACCTTTTGAGAAGGCACGGAGGTTAGCAGAAAGGATGGGGAGCAACAGCTCCCCCTCCTTTTTGCTAAGCTCCGTGCCTTTTCAAAAGGCAAGGAAAAGTGGCAGTCACTTTGACAGCCGCTTTCCTTGCCTTTTGCCAAGGCACGGGGCTTAGCAAAAAGGGAACCCTTTGATCCCTGCTTTTTCTAATTTGGGGTTAGAAAAGGGGGGGGTTGTCTTATACTTTGAGTCTTATAAACGGAAAAATAAGTGCATTTAAACGGTTGTAACTCGTCATTATATTTCAGTTCAGAAGCTTATGTTGCCAGCAGGGCTTTTTTAAAAATCTAAGACAGGCATTTAAATGACTGTTGTGGCAATAGCAAGAAAGGTGAAAGTGGTTCTCCGGTTATTTTAGGCTTATCTTGTGATCCCCAGAAAAGTTATAATGGGAGTGATGGTAAGGGGATCCAAAGAGAACCAGCTCTATTGGACTATGAAGAGGTCCTAGTAGCTTGGCACTAGATTAGAACCCTGTGGATCACATAAATCTCGGGTGGGTGGGGGGAGAGACAAATCTGTTATTGCAAAAGAGGAAAAGTCAAGCCGAATGGTGGCATGTGACAGTTTTTTGTATTCTTCTTAGCGTTCCTACCTAGTTCAGAATGCAAGTTACACTTCAGTGTTGTAACAGGACGCTAGCTGTGTGGAATCTTTTACTATGCTTGAGACTTTGATAGGTGTGGTGTAGTCAGCATTGGAGCCTAGATGTCTCCACAAGGGATTTTTTTCAGTTCAGATGAACTTCTCATTAGGATATTTAGTGGCTTTATTTTCACTGTTCTATCTCACTTCTATTGTTTTTAATGACATTTAAAATACTCCTTGTTTAGCTGCCACTGGGGAAGATGAACCAGAAAGTAAAAATGAGTGTGTTCTTGTATGGGAGAAGAAGCCAACTCCAGAAGAAAAAGCTAAAGCAGAGACTCTGATGCTTCCTTCAACCTTTCTCTGTGGCATTGGTAGTGAAACTGAAGAAGACAATGACAATGTGGAAGACTTTCAAACAGAACTTAGAAAAGTTCAAAAAGCTACAGTAAGTAGCAGAACTGGGCTTAAATATCTATTCAACTAGACTTTTGCCTACAGATCTGATGAAAACCCTTGAATTCTTCTCAGAATTTCATCACAGTCTTGCTTTCCATGCTTTGATCTGTACCAGCGAGCTCCTGTCCATATGAATGCTATGTGTATTAATACTGCTGCATTGGACAGGGAGGTTCTTTCCCACCCACCCACTCACCCACCCCCAGTACTTATGTAGGATTGTGCCTTGACATTCCCCTATGGCATCAGGACTCGCCCCCCGTTCATAGGGCCTTTGGGTTCCTTGGAACTCTTAGTTTGAATGCAGTTGTGAAAAGTGACATGAAATTGCCTTTCATGTTTCTTGGTTCTCTCCACTTGCACCACCCAGAGAGGGCACCTGCTCCATGAGTACCAGCTGTGGTTGCAACTGCTTTCTAGGGCTTCTCCAGAGGAAAAATACCCTCTGAAGACATTCACCATTCTAAAAAGCCAAAATAGTCTGGCATTTCTCTTTTTCAGGAAGCTCAGGTCGATGAAGTGACCAGTTCAACCGATGAGGTTTGCTCCACTAAGGAAGAAGAGCCGGTAGCGACGAGTAGAACTGAAGAGCCAGATTCTTCTACTCCAAGTAGACCTGAGGAACCAGATTCTAGTACCATGTCTGCACATTATATGCGGACCTTATTAGCAACAGATGACAAACCTGTCGACTTGTCGACTAAAAAAGAAAGTAATGAAAGTTCTTCATCCGCTGCAGACCAAGGTATGCTTGCCTGTTTGATATATGGAAAGGGACTCTTATCTTGTGACAAATGTCATACGTACTCTAGTAACTAACTAGAGAGAGAGAGAGAGAGAGAGTCTGAAACAAGATAGAATTTAGTGCTGCTAGGGAGAGACAGGAACTGGGAGAGGGTTGGTGCAAAGAGGCCTTGCTTTCTTGTAGGAAAGAAGGGGAGACCAAGGGTGGGCCCATCCACTTTACAGGAGGGCAAAGGAGCTGTTGAGGGATGAGAGGGACAGTCTTTTGAACCAAATGCCATTGAAATACACAGAAGAGGAGCGGCCAGTCAGGAGGCACCATTTTGGTGGGAAAGGAGGGAGGGGGAGAGAGAACTGAGGTGGGCGTTGGATGAGCGCTGGGCCAGGGAGGGAGGAAGGAAGGAAGGGCATTTCCCCCTTCAGTCCCTGGTGCGCACGGGCTTGACCCCTCCGCCTCCTGTCCTTTGTGGCCTGTTGTTCCCAGTTAGTTGTTTAGTCGAACCTGCTGTTAAAGAAAAAGATGTGGGAAAGGACTGATGGAAGGCTGAAAGAGGAGGCGTTGGGCTTGAGTTTTGTTAAAGGAGAAAATGAACCGTTATCTGTTGTTTCAAATAAACCTGCTAAAGTAAAAAATGGACTCCTTGCCTGTTTTTAAAAATGAAGACTAATAAAAAAAGATGGTTGGGAGCTGGTAATGAACCTTTATTGACATAGTGGAGTGATGTCATTACCTGCATGTGTGTTGTTCACTTTCTTACTCTGCTTCAACTTATGCCAGAAGTTACAGTAAAAGGGAATGGGTAGAAGAAATCCCTATCACATCATATCAAGTGAACCATAAGATCATCTGTACCATTTTCTTCCTTCATATAGAACACAAACCTTTCTTATTTGCTCTTGGCAACACGCCTGGCTTGTCATTTGCTGATCTGGCTTCAAATAATTCTGGAGATTTTGCCTTTGGTGCTAAAGGTAAGATGATGGGTATTATCCATTTACCATATAAATGCTATGTGTGTTGAAACTACTAAATTAAACATGAGCCCCCCCCCAATACTTGCTAAGCTTGTTCCTTTGTCAGGACAAACATTATACAACATGTTTGTCCTGACAGAGGTAGCCTGCATTAAATTAAAGTTTTTGGTCAGAATTCTGTTGCCTTGCACGGTTGTGTATGAGCAGTTATGTAAACCAAGTGAACTATTTCCTGGGTTATTCATCAGATGGCTGGTCCTCCCCTGCTGCATGGCTGGTTTTGGACAGGCATGCTGGGAGACAACTGCATGCACCTTTGCCTTTGTATGTGTGGTTTTTCATACTAGGATTTTGTCCTTTATAAATAACTATTGAGGAAGAGCGAATGGATGTGATCATAGAAATACTTGCAACTATTAAGAATTTCTCTTCCCGTACAAATAGACAAAAACTTCAAGTGGGCAAATACAGGAGCAACTGTATTTGGAGTACAAGCAGTTACTAAAGGAGAGAACGAAGAAGATGGGAGTGATGAAGAAGTTGTACATAGTGATGACATTCACTTTGAGCCCATAGTATCACTGCCAGAGGTAAGAATTTGAATCAGAAACAAGCAGGAGGAGGTTGTACTAATGCTGTGAGTTTTATGGCTCACTACACAAACAGTATTGTTGTATTGCTTGGGAAGATGTCTGTGTTTTCACCAGTTGCACTGTTAGCATGGGAGGTAAATTAAGTATTAGGGTGGACAGCAGGCTTGCCTGAGACTAACCAACAGCGGATATTTGTTCTGACTAAACATGCAAAGGATTGAATTGTGACTTGAGTAACAGTAGTAGCTTGAGTAAACATGACTACATGTCTCTGCTAGGTTGAAGTGAAGTCAGGAGAAGAAGATGAAGAAATTATCTTCAAAGAGAGAGCAAAACTCTATAGATGGGACCGAGAAGTCAATCAGTGGAAAGAACGTGGTGTTGGAGAAATAAAAATCCTTTTCCATACACAAAAGAAATGCTATAGAATTTTAATGAGAAGGGACCAAGTTCTTAAAGTCTGTGCAAATCACATAATCACAAAAGCAATGGATTTAAAACCCCTGAATACCTCGAACAATGCTATGGTTTGGACTGCAACAGATTATGCTGGTGAGCATTTGTGTTAAGATATTATAACTAAAATCCCCAGCCCAAGAGACATGGTGTAGTCTGTGCTGTAAGTAAAATAACAATCCAAATCTCTCATTTCAGATGGTGAAGCTAAGATAGAACAGCTTGCAGTCCGATTTAAAAGCCAGGAGCTGGCTGATTCCTTTAAGAGGAGATTCGAAGAGTGTCAGCGAAGCTTATCGGAATTGCAGAAAGGACATGTATCTCTAGCAGCAGAATTGTCTAAGGAAACTAATCCTGTGGTGTATTTTGAGATTTCTGCTGATGACGAGCCTTTAGGGCATGTAACAATAGAATTATTTTCAAATATTGTTCCACGAACTGCTGAGAATTTCAGGGCATTATGCACAGGAGAAAAAGGATTTGGCTTCCGAAACTCCGTATTTCACAGAATAATTCCAGATTTTATCTGTCAAGTAAGTAAAACATTGATGTTGACAAATATACAAGATTTCTCCAGGATGCCATGGTATATCTTTAACAATCTATACTTAAATCTATAGGTCTTTTAAGCCAAGTTGTTTAAGTAAGAGAAAAGGAAAAAGAATGCCACGATTTTACAAATGGGAACAAATAGGCATGAGATTTTTGACTACAAATCCCATCATCATGAGAATTCCATCTGACAGACCCACGCCTACAGACACCTAAGGGGGGCTCAATTGGAGAAAAGGCCTAGCTAAGAAGACTTTAATGCCTAGTATAGGATTAGGTTCACCCTAGCTTCCTGTTAAGAAAGGAAGCTGCCCTGTTAGTGATTCAGCATACAAGGTAATATCCATGGAAATTTTTTATCTTACTGCAATTTACAGTACAACACCCCATATCCATGGAGCTGGTATCCACTGTTTCATTTGTCCACCATCACCACTGCTGAAGCCCACCTCACAGTCCACATATGCACTTACCTCCTTCCCTTGCCCTTCGCTCCAGGGGATGGTAGCTAGTGGGTTCGCTGCTGTCTGCATTTTCAGGCATATGCAAGGGGGCTTGGAACCTATCCTCCCCCTGGATACAGGAAGCCAAGTTCCTACTTGACTCTGCAAGTAGTCACACATTTTTCATAACTGCAATAGGATTTTGGCCTGCATGTCTGGTCTGCTTAGGAACAACATCGGAATCGGTCCACAGAATATAAACAGTGATGGAATAAAGGGCAAGCTCTTATACAGCCCATTAACAGCATCCTATCCCTTTATATATTTCCTTGATTTTTTCTTACCTAGTAAGAAAACACATCTAGACTATGGTTTTGAATCAAATCGGATTTTGTATCTACCAATCAAGGAAACTGTAGATTGGGAAAATGACTAATAAGCAAATATGTTAACTGCATTTAGGCATGACTATAAATCTATAATTTGTTGTTTTGTTTAGGAGCAATGCTGAGCCTGAAGTGCATCCAACTTCTTGTGCGCATAATGGGCAAAGCATTGCAGTGCTATATTGTTTTGGATATATTCAGATATCCAAAACATATTCAACCTATATTATACTCAAATTTTCTCACCTTTTTTTTAATATTCCAGGGAGGTGATATCACTAGACAGGATGGAACAGGTGGAAAATCCATTTATGGTGATACATTTGAAGATGAAAACTTTGAAATAAAACACACTGGACCTGGCTTACTGTCAATGGCAAATCGTGGTAGAGACACCAACAATTCTCAATTCTTCATCACTCTCAAAAAAGCAGAGTACTTGGACTTTAAACATGTTGTCTTTGGGTATGTAAAGGATGGTATGGATGTTGTGAAAAAAGTAGAATCATTTGGCTCTCCCAAAGGGAGTGTGTCAAAAAGAATTATGATTACAGACTGTGGGCAAATATAAAAGCATGACTCTGACCAGTATGCAGATTAAAAGATCAATCAGTATTAAACAGATTTAGACAAGATTATGTTCACCTTTTTTTAAAAAAAATGAACATTTCTAATGTGTAAATGTAATGTTACAGCTTATAGCTGAGTACTTTTTAAATGTGTTTCAGTTGATTTGCATGTTGTGAAATAAAAGTTCAAACACTGGTAAATTTTGTTGTATTTTATTTTCTCCTGATTTTTGTATTAAATAATTTAAAATGAATCCCAGGACCGTGAACATTCTGTTACTCTGCTTTGTGTAAGTCTGATCTGTGCAAGTTTTCCAGTTTTAACTAAATTAAATAAAATTACAAACTACTATGTGACTAGTGCTTCTGTTCCTCTCTTTAATTCCCTTACTTCATAGGGAGCCCTAGAGCAACTTTTTAAATATTTCACATTGCCCATGTGTGTCCCTTGGACAGCACAATGGCATTATCTTAAGTAAACAAAATGACTCCGATGCTGGATTCCCCAAACAGACTATTTCTCTAAATTTCACTTAATATGGTATGTAACTTTTAAAAGTGTTACATATGTGATAGAAAAATATCCTCCAGCAATATGTGAAGTTTTAACAACTACTGCTATAATACTAAACAGCTAAATGGGATGCTTTTCTAAGTGCTCTAATTTAAGAAAATTATTGGCAGTACTTTTATTTCTTGTCATGACAGTTGTGAAGGACAGAGTTTTAATACTCCCTGACAAGGTAGAGGATACTGCATTTTATGTTCCTAGCTTATTAACTCTGATTCTGCTTGCTTGGCTGTGCAGCAAGGTCCTCTTGCAGTCTTAAGCCTGATGCTTATATTTTGGTAGATATGCATGATTGTGTGAACTGTAAATAAACAATTTATAATAAATGTAGCGGCTCACTCAGCAAGTCACAATTATGTCAGCAAAAAAAGCATTGCCATAGATGGTTATAATGAAGGACTTTAGAATTACACATGAACTGCTGCCATTACAGTATGCATTTCACAAGCATGTTCTACAGATTTAATCTACTGCAAAAATGAACCTATGGCCCGGCAGATGCTCACTCCTGACCACTGCCTAGAATGGGCATGAGCTTGAGTCTGACATCATCTGGAGGGTTACAAATGCATATCCTCTGCTCTGTTGTTACAAGGAATGTGGGGAAGTAGGGCTTATAGCACAGGTAGAAAAGATGTGCAGCTCTCCAGACACTGGACTGTAATGCCAAAGAAACAATGCACAGAAAAGATTATGGCCATTCACTGCAGTGGCCATTCACTGCAGTGTTTCACTTCTGAACATTGTTAATTTTATGCTGGATATTTGTTATATGTCTATCAAGCATAGACTGAGTTTCTTCTGGAACACTCCAGTAGCCAATATATACAGTCAGACCCCCTTATCCGCTGATCCACTTATCCATGGTCTGAATAGACATCCTAAACATATTAAAAGAAAAATCCCGTATGTATTACTAGAAGTGGCCACTAGATGGTGTCAGAGACCATGTTATATATAGCCTTGGAGTAACCAAGTGACTTGGACCTGATCCCCATGGTTATAGGGGTCCTACTGCGTTAGCAATTTGATCTCTAGTGCCCATTTCTTTTCTGAGCTCAGCTTGAACATCTAACATCTTTTGTTTCATATATAGTAAAAGCAGTATTTGCTATAAAATCACTGCTTCCGTAAGAAATGAGTGAAACTGTCCTATGATTACAGTACTCCACAACATCTGTCTTAAGGACTGGAACTTGTATGTCTCTAAGATGATGGGCCATTATTTTCTATATTTGTTTGCATATTCTTCTTAGGATTTGGTAGATTGAGTCTCTATATAAAGTGAAATAAATTTGCTGGACCTCCTGGCGATTGATCTTTCCAATTGCTTTCAGCAGATTTGAGTTCATTGTCTTTATCAAAATAATCAGCCATCCTAGCATCTCTTTTGTATAGTCTTTTTCCATCTTTATTTCATCTTGATTAAATAATAGATTTCTCTGCTGATCCCTCAGCATCCCTAACCTTGGTTTCAGCTAGGCTGTGCCTTTTCCTGTTACACATATGAAATGTGTATAACAGGAAAAGGCACTGGAAACACAAAAAAGATTTCCCACCTCCATCCAGCAATCCCACCCCATGTCCACAATCTCATGGTTGGTTGGCTTGCACTTCTAGCCGGATATGGTAACGTGACTAGGCATACAGTAATATAGGTCAGGAGTAGACTGCAAACTTGCGGGACCTATTTTTAATTAGCCACTAATTGCACGGAGGTGTGAAACGGTGCCACAGGTATACATCAAGAAGAACTGGGCGTAGACTGCAAACTTGCGGGACCTATTTTTTAATTAGCCACTAATTGCACGGAAGTGTGAAACGGTGCCACAAGTAGGCATACATCAAGAAGAACTGGGCTGCCCGCTGAGAGCGCCTGGACTCCCTTCTCCCCCCCCTTCTCTACCGTTCGCTAGCGTGCGAGTCCCCACAGCAACCAAAAGGACGTTCGTTTCCTTTTCTTTCACGTGTGAAGCGCCTCCAGGGGTTGGGCAAAGTCTCACAGTCGAGGTTGGGAAGAGGAAAACGGTGTGTGGGCGGGGGGGGGAAACCATTGCATCGCGCATGCGCTTTTAAGACAGCCCTCTGTCTCCTCCTCCCCTCCGAGGCGGTGGTTGTGAGTGGCGGAGCGGGACGCGGGCAGCTTGAGGGCTCGTCCGCCTTCCTCCAAATGGCGGCTTCAACGGAACTCAGCCGCTCCGTCGAGCGGTGGAGGAGGCGCTATCTCGCGGGCGAGGTGGGCTCTGCGCGCGCTGTCTTACACACACACACACACACACACACACACACACACACACACACACACACACACACACACACACACACACACACACACACACGTGTGAACAGAAACATCCCGCACATCACTATACCGTGGCCAAAGTCGCTGAGTAGGGTATCACACACGTTGGTGTTGTTGTTTAGTCGTTTAGTCGTGTCTGACTCTTCGTGACTCCCATGGACCAGAGCACGCCAGGCCCTCCTGTCTTCCACTGCCTCCCAGAGTTGGGTCAAAGTAAGGTATAGGAAACCGTAACAAAGGGCAAATCTCTGAGCGTGTGCAGAGTGCCTCCCCGCACCAAGACGAAGCGCTGTTCGTGCGTGTTCTACCGTTCCCACGAGCTCTAGTGTGTGGGGGGGAGGGCGGGGGAGAAGGGATGAGCATCCTCCTGAACCGTTTCTTCCTCCCTGTCACTCGCGGGTAGTTAATAGCCCTGCCCTCTCCTGTTAATTAATGGTCACAGACAAAGGGAGGGAACTCCGCTTCGTCTTGGCCTGAGGAGGCACTCTGCACATGCTCAGAGATAACGCCTTTTGTTACGGTTTCCTATACCATACAGTGACTTTGGCCACAGTATAGTGATGTCCTGCGAGATGGTTTCCACACTATCACCCCACAGAGGTGTAGACACAGTTTTGTTGTTTTTGATTTCTAGCAATGGTTTTTTTTTATGTTGGCTGCCATTCACAGGGGCTGCGGTTCTTCCTCTCTAACCCTGCGGCTTTCTGACAGTTTGAAGTCTCTGCTTTGGCTTTTGCCTAAGCAGACGATTGAGAGTGGCCGCTCTGGGGTGAAAATTGTGATTTTTTTCTGACCCCAGAGTTAAAACTTCCACACAAAGTAAACAGGTGTATAATCCTACTAGCCACCCCACTCCCAATTTGGCACATTACTACTGGTGTGGAAGAGCTAAAATGAAACCCACCATTTGATCAGGTCAGCATCTAAATCATATACAGCACAGTCCTATCCACAGTTTTATATTCTTTATCAATGGGGTCCGAGTGATCTGTTTTGGGGGGATGGAGTCTTTTGTGTTTATCAGCTTACTTCTAGGTAATTGGAGGCTTTTTCTTTAGGGATCAAAGGAGAGCTTGCCTGTCCTATTTACACAGCTTGGAAGTCAAAGTATTCGAAGGGAGCACCATGCGTTGAATTAGAATACAGAAGAATGTAACTTTGTTCTTATTTCTTTTGCTTTTGGAGGTATAGGGTTATCCATAATGTTTTTCTTTAAATTGAATCCATTTCCTCTTTTGGGTATTGTAACCTTCAATGCTTATTTTCCAAATCAATGTCCGCACTTGGCCCAAATTAGTAAACCTTGGAAAATACTATTCACATCAACTGTGCCCAGTCAAGGGCTCCTAGTTGTTTATTTTCAAGTGAAAGAAAACTCCCTTGCTCTTATTTCTATTATATATAGAAACTGCAGTTTATTTATTTCTCTGCCAAGGTCTTTTGCATAGCTTTTAAAGACAGAAACTTAGCATTTCATCTGAATAATGCTTTCTAAAGTTTCAATGCAAAATTCTTCTAGGTTAAAAGAAAACATCCCTTCCAAGTAATAGTATGATAAAAAACAAAAAATCTGTCCATAATAAGCAGGCATTACATTAGTAATTGTGGAACTTTTTTTTCTAATTTTAGGATGATTCTTTAGATGTATTGGAAGCAAAAAGTAAAAGTAGGCGGGCCCTGAAACCTAAAGGTAAGACATTTAAAATGGTATCTGAGATTAATTTAAAGAGTTCTTAATGTTTTGGAAAAGTTAGTATCATAGAAAGGAGGCATTCTTCCTCAGCACCTGTTCAATTATACAACATTTTAAGATTTGCCTCTTTACTTTTGACACTTTTTTTGATCTTTTTCCTTGGACCTCCATTCCTCCATAATGTATGTAGTCTTTAATTAGCTTCTGGCTTCTTTTTAAAACTTAGCACAGAACATAGCAATTTTGGGTGCATTACAAAATTTATAAGAGACATTGTGATGTAGTAGATAGTGTCAGACTAGAATTCAAGATACATGGTTTCAAATCCTCGCTCAGCCAATGGAAACTCATGGGTTTCGTCCGTAAGGTTGCCATAGGTGAAAAAGGAGTGGACAAACTGTCCTGAGATTTGTTTGCTAATCCAGAGCTCTTGCTTTGCAATTTGTACAGTTCATTCACAAATATAACCCTGTTCATGGATTTGTGAACTCACCCCCCACTTGTTTTAGAGTACAGTACTTTAGAATTTCTTTCTAGGCAGTTCCACCTCCAGGATTCTGAGTTCTGTTTTGGTAAACTCTGACTTTTGTATGTTCTTCTTGTACTGTGTCATTTACGTTTTTAAGCCTAGCAGAGATTGAGTTGAAAGCTCCACTTAAGCACTGGAAGCTGTTTTATACTGAGTCAGACATTTGGCTTATCTAGCTCACTACTGCCATTCTGACTGGCAGTGGCTCCGTGGAGCTGCAAGGAGGATGATTTCCTAGCCCAACCTAGAAATCCATGATTTTCCCCTGGTGGTCTCCCAACCAAGTATTGGTCAGGCCTGACCCAGCTTTGCTTCAGAAAACAAATGAGTTTGAGTGTATTCAGGATGGTAAAGGATCACTGATGAGCATGTTTTCATTTTTGGATTTGCGTCATCATGAGTAGCAGATGCTCTTGTTTTCAGTTACTGTTTGCATGCAGTGTCTTCATTGATCACAGCTTGATAATTGCTTTTGTTACCTGTGCTGACACAGCAAATTATGTTGCCTTATAGGTGAAGCAGACCCTTTGCTTGATGACACTATTGCATCTTTAATCACACCCTCATCCCCATCGAAACTTACCTACCATGGAAGAAAACACAATAAAAAACATATTTTGGATTCCTCAAAGAAATGTGAAAGACCTCTGAACATGACAAAAAATATCGCTTCCTGTTGTTCTACTGTACAAGGAAGGTAAAGAGAAAAATTGCTAGATATTCCTCCAGAATTTTTACATTGGGTTACCTTAATGTACTTTTTGAAATATATTTTAGGTCAAATGATGAGTTTGATTCTCTGTGTGATACGGGCCAGCTTGACATAGAGGCGGAGTTCAGTGATGATTGTCTTGGAAGTGATGAAATTCAGAGTGGAAGTGTATATTCAGAAATGGGTAATCAAATGTGTATTTTTTTCTCTAATAGGATTCAAATGAAATCTGCTTCAATAATGTGCTTACCATGTAACCTGCTACTTGAGCCTCCCTAGCACTTTAAATTGACATTCCATGTAAAAAAAAGTTAAAATAGAGTTGGACCATGCTGCCTGACTTGCAAATAAGTTACACCTCCCCTTACACCAGAGGTCATCAATCTCCGGTCCCTGGCCTGCTGCCGGTCCATGGCCTGAGCCAGACCAGGCCACGGAGACAGACCTCGCACCCCGCATGCACTCCCCTCCCCACAGCTGCTTTGTGCACACACACACGTGTCAGCACACACATGCGTAAGTGTTCCTCCACCCCTTCAGGCATGCGCCTGTGCGAAGGGGTGGGCGTGCAGGCGCTCCTGCGCATGCACGAAGGGGTGAGGGAACGCTCACAAATGCATGCTCCCCCACCACTTCATGCATGCACCTGAGAGTGAGCGTGGGGGGGGGTGCCCCACCTTCTTCAGAGATTCAGCCAATCTGCAGTCCCAAAAAGGTTAGGGACCGCTGCCTTACACCATTCTTATCTCATAGTTTTCAATAGCACAGCTTGTTGAAAACAACTACAGGATTTTTTTGTCTCTGATCCTTTAAGGCCACATTTTCCACAGTCTTGAGATTTTCTGGTTGGTACAGTGATAGTGGGTGCTTGAGGGCAGAATCTTATCCCAGTTCCAATCAAAGGATGGGTGTCCCTTTACTCTGGTAATGGCAGCTTCTCACTTGAGCCTTTGAGAAGTATAAGAGGTATATGAATATATAAGAAATGGGCAGTGTTTTGCTCCATATGTATTTTTGCCATTAACTTTAAAAATTTCTCTTCCTAAGGCAGTTTCTGAGTGCTTGATTTCCCTCCCTTTTTATAATAATGAGCAATAAGACTCATCATGTATGATAGATGGATACAATATCGATTTGCGTAGCGGCAGTTCTCATTTGCTGTAATATTTAGTGGCTATATAGTTTTTGTGGTAAATGAAATTTCCATTCCCTCCTTGTAATTGGCCTTTTGAAAACAGGAATAATTTGGTAAGCTTGTCTACTTTTTGTTTTTCCACCCCTTAGACATTACTCTGCCGTCCAGTTTGACGGTTGACGCATGTTGTGATTATGATAGTGGCGGTGATGCAGTAGGAGAGAGTGCGAGCATTTGTGAAACCCAAAGGTTAAATGGTCAAAACCTGATGCCATCTCATCTTGGTCAAATTTATCATGAATTATCTATCATACATCAAAAGCTGCAGGTAAAAATTAGCAGAGACTTAGCTATCAGCAGAGTTAATTTGAAAAGAAAATATCAGCAGATCAGCACTATCTTTTATCATCTGTTGTGATGCAGCAAGAAAAGCTAACTCAGGAAGAATATGCTTTGAAACTTGAAAAACGGGAACATTTTTTAGCTGACCGGGAAGCCCAGATGTGTAGACATGAAGCTGCTTTGACCAAGATAAGAGGTGTGGAGCAGGAAATTCATGCAAAATTTCAAATTATGAAGGAGGTAGTATTATTTTTCAAATTCTTCTTTATCTAAATTTTTCTGATTAAAAAACGACTAACTTCACTGATGTCCACTTTCTCACCTACCTGTAAAGTTGCTTGCATGACATAAGTTGTAGCTACTGACTAAGGGCTTATTTTTCTTTTGTGCATGCACACCTTCCACATACAAAGGCATTGTCTGTCTAGAAAGGGATACCGTGGGAGCATTTGTGCTCCAGCAT